GTCTGGCCACTAGCACAGGATTTCAGAAAGTACCAAGACTTCATCTTTTTACCCTTTAAGGATTATCTGATCATGTTGGCTGAAGAACAATCAGATGAGATTTAAGAGATTGCACCTCTACAAATTCTCTTACCTGACTCCTACTGAAGATACCAAATATTCAAAGACTGCCCAGCATGACTTTTTTGTAAGTGACATATAACAATACACACAATGAAGAGTCTATAGTAGCCGTGAACAATGTGATGCATTTGAACAGATGGATACGCCTCTGACTCTCTAAGATATGAAACACTGCCACGCCTCACAAAAGTTCCCTGCTGCCCCTTTAGTCAGACCCCATTATCAGGCTAGCCATGGAGAAGCCCTAGTATACTTTCCTACACTATATAATAGTTTTTATGTTCTTGAATTTCATGAAAAACTCAACAATCCTGCATTTATTTGCTTTTGCCTTCTTTTTAAAACATTTTCAAGAACATCATTATAGTTAGTATTGGTACTGAATTCCCTTTAGATCCTGGTTTACAACAGATTCACATTATGACAAAATGCACTTAAGATTTTTGTTGTGTGTATATTTATATCTTATCATTAGTAATTTTACAGTGAAAGGATTAGCTGAAGTTTTTTATAAACTAAATCAGAGACTTTAGATTTTTGAAAATATGGACCCAGCTATAGAAAATTGTGATGAAGAAAAAAGGTGGTTCCTGGCTATCAGAAAAAAATCGTGTCTGGGGTCTGAAAGGTTTATCATCAAACAAGTAACCACTAAGGGAGGTATCAGCACAGTCTGCATGGAAGAAGCACACCACCCTGTGAAATACAAGGATTGTAAATAATAAAACCCAAGACCAGAGAAGGGAATTGCATTAGAACTTCAATTCTGAGCTATGGATGACAGTAAAAGCCCAAAATCCATTTGCAGTCCCCACGTGGATTAAATCTCCATTGAACTATTTCAGACCAGAGAGATGAGTAGTCTTGTCCTCAGATAGAGCGAATTGGAAATATGTTAAAATTTAACATTGTATCATCTGTCTTCCTTTTTGACCCACTTGTAACTTCTTCTATTTTATATTATTTTCTGTTTTTTGGATTGAGGTTTTTCTGTTTTATTTTGTTGTTGGGGATTTTTGGTAAGATTGTCTTAATATGAAATCCAAGATAGGTAAATCTATACAGCTACATTAATAGATCCTTAAGGTTATGAAAGGGGAGTAGAGGAGAATAATGAATATAAGAATGAAGAAAGTAATCTAAAATTGATTGGGGCGATGATTGTACAAGTTTAAAAAATATATTTAAAGCATTGTATTATACGGTTACAAGAATTATATGTCAATAAAATGGTAAAACTAAAACTAAAAAAAGAGAAAACATGGACCCAAATGCCAATTGCTTTACTAAAGTTAAAAGAAAAATTTGGGAAGCAGTGTGATATTGTCATTAAATATATGAAGAAAAAAAGGAAAGGCCCATTCAGACAACTCTCACTGATTTTCAAACTAGAAACACTATCCTCATTCCCAAGGATAATCCAGAAGACCCAGACACTTCCACAAGTTAGTACTACACCTGAAAAACAAGCAGACAAGCTCTCTCAGTAATGTGCTTGTCTTAGTCTCATTAGAGTGCCTTAAAAAAAAAAGTCCAATCAAAACAGTAGCTTGGAGTGGAACTGCTGGACTAGTTCAACTGAAGGTACAGAAATAAACTGAGAAGGTCAGAGTGGTTATTTGGGATCCAAATCTATCTTGATAGACTTTTTTGATGGAGACAAGATTATTATATACACTTATTAGGAAAAAGTTTTAAGAAAACTGCACTGTTGAGAAAAAGGCAGGAAATTTACACTGGAGATTTTTTTCCATCATGACAATTCTTCAAGCATATAGCACAGGGGGTCCTGTGAGAGTTTTTAATAAGTCTCGAAATCAAGGAGTGTAAGTCCTTAATACTTTTTCCTCCAAAATTATTTTGTCTATTCTAGCTGCTTAGAATCTGTACGTAAATTTTAGGGTTAACTTGTCAATTCTACACACAGCCTCATCAAATTTTGATTGGAATACCCCTGAATCTAAGGAACAACTTAGAGAGAAATGTCATTATGACAATATTGTGTCTGGAGGGAGCCCTGGTGGTACACAGTGGTTACTCGGTGGCTATTGTCCACAAGGTCAGCAGTTCAAAACCACAAGCTGCGCCTTGGGAAGAAGACAAGGCTTTTGTTACTCCTGTCCACAGTCAGTCTCAGAAACTCACAGGGCAGTGAGGCATCGGCTCACGGGCAGCGAGTTGTAGTTTTGTTTAGTATACCTCACATTTATTCAGGTATTCTTTAATCTCTCTCTCAGGATTGCTTTGAGATTTCAATATATAAGCCTTAAACATACTCTGCTAAATTACCCTATGTTAGATTTTTTATTATATTATGAATGGAATATACCATATTTTTTTATTTCATTCATTAATTTTCTGTTGTTAGACTATAAAAAGACAAATTATTTAGCAGAATCTTACAAATGTTACTAATTGTTCTAGTATTTGTTTTGGCAGAATCCATATGATTTCCTACGCATAAGATCAGGTCACATATTAATAGAAACAGGTTTCTTCTTCCTCTCAAATGTGCACTCTGTGTTTTTTGCTCCAGTGCCAGTGGGGATTTAGGAAAGGACCAACTAAAACGAGCACGAAAGAACGTTTTAAGGTGATGAAGTTTTCTGTATCTAGATTATGTTGTAGATTATATGACTGAATACATCTGTCAAAATTCATAAAAATATTCACATAGAGTGACTTTATTGTATGTAATTATGTATCACTGATACTCAAATTGCTCTATAAGAGCAAGTATTCTCTTAAGAGTTCCTAGTGGAGATCAATGGTTACCATTTTCAAACGAAAGTTGGTTAATCCAGGAGAATAACTGATTTTACCGAGAGGCTCACAGCAACACAGTAGTATATACAATGACTACATTTTGATGTTCCATTTCTACCTCTGCTTTTATGATAAGATCCCACTTTAGTAAATAATCACAATGTGTAAGGTCAATGTTCTTTTTATTTAACAATGCTTGATGAAAATTTTTGAATAATAAAATTTTGCATAGAAAAATCTATTTTAAAAATGTAGGATTGTTGTTGTGTGGAAAGTTGGCTGCAAAGGTATCCCGAAGGTAACAAGTACTCGATGTTTCGTTACCTGTGTATCTGGACTTGAAGGAGTCAATATAACAAGCAGCCTCATTTTCCTTAATGCCCATCTGCTCTCCCAGTGATTTAGCGCCCATTCCATAAATGATTCCATAGCAAATCTGTAAAAAGGAGTCATCATACCCAGTAAGCAAACTCAAGGTTGAGCTACATATATTGCAGCTATTAAAGCATTCCGTACAATTGATATTTGGCAAACTATTTCAGAGTGGGTCAAAGGAAGGACTGCAGCTATTTTTTGAGTGGGTTAGAGCCACAGAGGTTGGCACCTAAAGCACAGCTTTTCTGTCTTTGTGCATAATTTCTGAGAGAGGGGAGAAAATGACTAAATATATCCATGTACGCATGTTTCAGGAAACTAACCCAAGATTCATTTATACCTCTGCTGTTTATCCAAGTCTGCAGAATAGCTTTCTGCGCCTCAGCCTCATTAACGTCACGTTACAACAGTCCTCTCCTTGTCCTTGCTGTTGCGAGCTGCTGTCTGTGGTCCACCACGGGTGACCGAAGTTCCCTAGGCTGTATCCTTACCAAAGCAGATGGGCGGGTCTTTCTCTCACAGAGCCACTAGGTGGGTTCCCATTGCCAGCGTGTCAGTTCGCAGCCCAGTGCTAACTCACTGGGCCCCAGGGCACGGGTGGACAGGACTGACCGTGCAGGGAGTTAGGCTGAATGATTTGATAATAGAAAAGACGTTGCTGGAAATATCCCAGTCAGCTGAAATCTCATCATTGCAGACTTTAATTGGGTTAAAAATTAAGCAAAAACTTCTGAGAAAATTAGAAGAGCAATGGAAGAAAAATGCATAAATAGACAAACAATGAAACTCTGATTTAATAAGTTTCGCTTGGGTTCAACTGTTCTATCATTTACACTACCCATAATATTGCATAAGGTACATAATCTCTTTGTATAAGAAATTTTTCATCCACAAAATGGAGATAATATCTATATCGTGGATTACCCTGATTGAGTTATAATGTATTCAGAAAAGTATAATAGGGTCCCTGTGAGTCGGCACTGACTCCATGGGAGTGAATTTTGAGCTGCCATTAAAAAGGTACATATAAATGTTTGTTAAAGTTAAAAAAATAACTTGAAAAAGGGTCATCAGAATTCCCAAAACTCAAAAACCAAACTCACTGTCATCAAGTTAACACTGACTCACAGCGACCCCTGGTGGGTGTCTGGGACTGCGACTGTTCACGGGAGTAGAAAGCCCAGTCGTTCTCCCGAGGAGCTGCTGGTGGTCTCCAACTGCCCACCATGAGGATCGCAGCCCAACGTGTAACCACCACACCACCAGAGCTCAGCCCTCAGAATTCCAAGAAACTCTTAATATAATGAATAACTAATAAAACTAGAGGGTTTTGCCCACCACCACCTCTCCTCTTGAGACTACAGCAAGGATCAGCGACTTGGTGGTTCAGGGCTGTGACAGAAAAAGGCCGGTTGGGGGAGAAGCATAGCATGAACACACTCAGTCATATGGGAACTTAGGCGAGGAGCTGGCATCAGTGGCTAACTGTGTCGATTACGGATTTAGGACACCTACATTCAAATTATGGCTTTACCATGGACAGCGGTGTGGCTCCTGTGCCTGAGTTTCCTCCTCTAACAGATGGGAATAATCACAACAATCCCCATTTAATTTGATGAACCACTGATATTGAGTCAATTCTGACACAGTGTTCCTACCAGACAGAAACGGCTCGTGTGGCTTTCCGAGACCCTAAGTGAACATGCAGCAGAGCAGTTTACTCCCCCGCCAGCGGCTATCTCTCTGACAGATTCCCACTGCTGAACCCGGTTAGCAGACACACACTAGGCACCAGGGCTCCCTTCATTTTGATGAGGAAGTTAACACGTTTTAGAAATACAACGTTCTTAAAATACGTACAGTGGCACATCATATCACCCAGTAACATTTTTGCTATTGTTCCTGGATATTAATTTTACAATTCTGTTATTATTAGTCTGGACTGAGTGCAACGTACCTTGAGCACACAACAAAAGTTCTTGGAATGAAATGTTTACACTTGCAGAACTTAGACAAGAATCCCATTCCCATTGCACATGAGCAATCTAACCATCCAGGGTTATCCTCTTTCTCTCGGGCATCTCATTACATTTACCTAATAGAAAGCAAGTTTTACCAAGTATAAGTTCATAAAAAAAGAGATTTTTCACAAATAGGCGAAAACCCCCAGTCTGGAATACGCGCATACAGGTGTTGGGGAGGAGGAGTTGGATGCGGTCAAGTAAGAGCAGGTCTGTCCCTCAAGAGCCCAGCTCAGTCCCTGGGCTTGGAAGACACAAGTAGGACAGAGGGCTCGATCTGGGCACCACCGGAAGAGTCTGATTCAAACATCTGTCTTCCAGAATGGTGAGCCCTCCATACTCCTTATCACCCCTTAAGCAAAACTCTCACCAGCCAATTAGCTGTTCTCTAGGGAAAATTATCAAACTAGATCATTAATATCACATGCAAGCAAAACTTTGCTTAAGATAATTCAATAAAGATTGCAGTAATACATTGACCCCCAGGGGCCGGGGGGAGAGGGGAGTTGCTGCTAAAAATTCAAGCTGGATTCAGGTGAGGATGTGGCACAATGGATATATTATTGCTAGCATCAGATGGATCTTGGCTGAAAGCAGAGTACACTGTGTAAAAACATTTGATTGTGTGGACCATAAACTATGGATAACATAGAGAATGAGAATTCAAAACCACTTTATTGTGTTCATGTGGCACCAACACATGAACCAGAACAAGGGAATACAGGGTTATATCCTTTCACTCCATTATTCAATCTGTATGCAGAGCAAATAGTCAGAGAAGCTGTACTGTATGAAGAGGGATGCAGCATCAGGATTAGAGGAAGTTTGATTAACAATCTTTACTCTGCAGATGGCATAGCCTTGCTTGCTGAAAATGACAGAGACTTGAAGCACTTACTGATGAAGAGCAAGGCTTGTAACTCAATGTAAAGAAAATGAAAGTCCTTTAAACTGGACGAGCAGGTATCATCAAGATAAACCGAAAAGGTGCAAGTTGTCGAGGCTGCCATCTTGCTTCCATCCACAGTCAACAATGATGGAAGCAGCAGTCAAGAAATCAAAGGATGTACTGCATTGGGCAAATCTGCTACACAGACACCTTTAAAGCACTGAAGAGCAAAGATGGCACTTTGAAGACTACGGTGCACCTGCCCCAAGCCACTGCCTTTTCAGTCCCCTGAGATGCATGTCAAAGTTAGACACTGGATAAGGAATATGAAAGAAAAACTGATGCAATTTAATTATGGTGGTGGAAAAATACTGAAAGCACCATGGACAGCCAAAATAACAAACAATATGTCCTCGAGGGAGCACAGTCAGACGCTCCTCAGAGCAAGGATGGCGAGGTTTCATCTGCTATTCTTGGGGCACATTATCAGGAGAGAACTGTCCCTGGTAAATTGAAGCGTCAGCAAAGAAGAGGTAGATTGTCAAGGAGACGGAGTGACACAGTGGCTGCAACAAGGGGCTCAAACACCCGGCTCAGAGGAGCCGGCCAGGTTTCATTCTTTGGTGCAGAGACGCCGACAGTCAGAATAGACCCAATAGCATCTACCAAGAACAACAACAAAAGGGCAAATGTAGAATGATCTCCCTGAAGAGTCAAATATTCCACAAGTGTTTAGAAAACTAGTTGGCTGTCTCACTAACTGTCCAAAGCAAACTTCTCCTGGCAATTGGCAATCCCAGACAAGTACAAAGCTGCCCCACATAGCTCTTTGTGTCTCATGCTTAAATCTTAATGGAAAACCCAGGATACTCAGATATGAATGAAGAATATTTGAAACATAATTAAAAACATCTAAAAAGAGAAATAACACAATACAATCATAAAATATAATTCTGTCTATCTGAAAATACAGAGAAGAGGACTTCATGGACATTTTACCAACGAGGACATTTAAATGTGTACCAAACACATCGAAAGACGTCATTGTTATTAGCCACCAGAAAAAAAAGTCAAATCAAAGCCACAATCAGATGTGAATACACTCCCAATGGATTGGCTAAGACAAAAATAATCACACAAACAAAAACAAACAAGCAAACAAATAAACAAACAGAAACTAACTAATGGTGAGGGCATGGGAAAACCAGAACCCTCATCAATTGATGGTGGGAACACAAACTACTGTGGAAAACAGCACTGTGTTTTCTCAAAAAACTAAAAACAGAGCTAACATAGATTCCAGTAATTCCTATTAGGTATCTGAGGTAGTTAGTTTATTGTGCCAACCTGGCCGATAAACACATGTGGGGTTAATTGAAGGGCAGAGGGATAAATGGCTCAATGAGCCTCGCCTTTTGTGTTCTTTGGTCTCTTGTTTTCTGATGGTCAGACCAGGGTGCAGCTGCCTTAGCCAGTTCCCTGCTTCAGCTGGCAAGGCTCACTTCCTGAAAGACATCCCTGAGGAGAAGCCACATGGACCTACCCCGATGTAGCCCTGGGTGCTGGAGCAGCCATGTGGAGAACCCTGCCAGTGCTGACATGCTTACACATTCACTGATTCGGCTTTCCCCCTGCAGTCGACATCACAGTGTGTTTTGTGAGATGGAGGAGGATTCTGTGGATTGGTGACAGACATATGGGCTCATGGGTTAATGTTGGACTTGTGGGCTTGGGCAGCACTGGGTTGGGATGTTTTCTTGAAGCACACTTAACCTTTATATAAAACTCTCTCTTATACATGACTTTCTGTGGATTTATTTCTCTAAAGTTAGTCTGGGTAGACTAATAAGTATCCAACCCAAAATACTTGAAAGTAAAGACTCAAAAGGAGACTTGTACACCAATGTTCACTCCAGCACTAGTCACAATAAGTGGAAGGGGGAAATAACCTAAATCTCATCCACCCAAAAAGACCAAACCCACAGACATCAAGTTGATTCCAACCCATGGTGATCCAATATAGGGCAGACTGTAAATCTGTACGGAAGGAAGCAATTTCATCTTTTCCTTGTGGAGCAACTGGCAGGTTCCAACCTCAAACCTTGTGGGTAGCAAAAAATGCTTAACTCGCAGTACCACCAGGGATCCTTTTATGCCTATCAACAGATGAATGGATAATCAGACTGTGGCATATACATACAATAGACTACTATCCAAACAACAGAAGTGAAGCCCTGATGTAAGCTACAATATGGATGGAGTTCGAAGACATTATGCTGGGTGAAATAAGTCAATCACAAAAGAACAAATATTATATGATCTAATTTACATAAAAAGATAGTAAAAAGGCAAAAGCAATAGAGACCAGAGTTTATTAGTAATTACCAGGTGCAATGCAGTGAATTATTTATGGCTTTTCTAGCCATAGTTAGCCTTAGTCCCACCAAAAGACTTTCCACCGAATGGTCTGAGTGAGAGAAGACGGGGAAGACCCTGACTGGAGTACATGGCTCACTGTGCATGGCTGTGAACAGGGTTAGCTGTGATTACCTTCCCGCCTGGCAGAAAACCAGCTATCTCCAAAGCAGGGAGGGAGGAGCTCACAACCAGCATGAGGAAAGAGTCAGGGGTGGAGTGTCCCTTGCACTCTGAGACCCCTGCACATTGAACCTCCTGGTTCAAGAGACAGCAGTGACACCAGAGAAGTGGCAAAGGAGCAGAGCAGAACCAGGAGCCAAAGCGGCGGGCTTCCAACCCCACAGAGCAATTAAAGTCGAGTGCGTTGAGAAGGAGGCTGGCTTGAGGAGTGGGATAGTTGTGGACACGTAACTGATGGAACCAGTTTGCTGGCCCACAGAGCTAGAGCTGAGCGCCTTCGGGTTGATATTTATAGTACTGGCCTATGAGCACTTAGCAGCAACCCTGAAAAGAGTTTTGTGACACTGCCCAAACAGGGCAGAGACCACACCAAGAGGCTGAGAGCCAGAGAGAGGCCTACCTATGGGCACGGCAGAGAAACAACTGCGCTGGCTGAACAACTGTATCCTGAACATTTCTCACCTGAACTGTAACCTGTTAACGCTCCTAATAAACTCCATAACCGCAAACATCAGTTCTGTGTGACCCTCTATGTTACCCAGCATGATGTCATGCTCTAGGGACTGGTCCCATCTGATAACATATCCAAAGTACTAAGATGAAATGTCACCATTGCCACTTCTAAGGAACATTCCGGTTGTACTTCTTCCAAGACAATTCTTGTGCCAGTACATGGTATGTTTAATATCCATCACCAGCACCATAATGGAAAGGCATCAATTTTTCAGTCTTCTTTATTCCTGCTTTTAAATGCATATGAGATGACTGAAATGTCACGGTTGGGGCAGGCACACCTTAATCCCCAAAGTGACATCTTTGGTCTGCAGTTTATAGCGTTCTTGTGCAGAAGATAGGCCCAGTACGATACATCATTCGCATTCTTTCCGTGGGTGTGCACTGTGGATCTCAGCAAACTCAAACCCTCGACAACTGCAATCTCGCCTCCGTTTAGCATGACGACGTCCAGGGGTCCGCTTGAGAGGATTTTGTTTCTTTTTTGTTGAGGTGGGACCCATATTGAAGGCAGTGGTCTTAGGTCTTCATCAGAAAGGGCTTTAAGTCTCCTGGCGTCCAGTGAGGACGCTTGCGCTATGTACACATTGCAGGCTCTTAGTGAGTCTTTTTCCAATTCCAATGACCCACTCTTCATATAGTCTAGCATCTCGGGTTATATGACCAACAAAAAGATGAATAATTAGAGGGAAAGGATACATCTTAATATATATCTTTCTTGATTTTTAATTATGCAGTATCCCCATTCAGTGTGAAAATTATGTTATCTATGCATAGGTTTCACATGGGAGCAAGCAGTGTTCTGAAATACCCATTTTTCACAATGTTATCCACAATTTATGATCCACAGAGTCAAACGCTTTGGCATAGAACTGAACAGTGTTCAGCTACCATGACTGAACAATTCACTGCAGACTTCATGAAATACTGATCAAAAGGAAGGTAAAGCAGGGGTAGGAATTCAAACTCCCATGAAGTCATGAAAGGAAGAGGAATCCCTGAAATTACTCCCCTGAGATAGTTTTGAAATCTTAAACCAAAAATGTCTTCTTCAAAGCCACACGATAGTTTACCGTCACTAGTAAAAAGATCTGCCCTGAGCACTGTGCTCTTTTAGTAACTATCCAGATGGGACTGAAGGGTCCATGATGGTGTTGCGTTGGGCTGTGATCCGTATCATCAGCAGTTTGAGACCACCAGCAGCTCGGAGGGAGAAAGACGGGACTCTCTACTCCCACAAACAATGACAGTCTCTAACCCACAGGTGAGCTCGGTATACAGGATCAAACTGACAACAGCAACGTTACATAAGAACCTTAGAAGGTGGAGAGTTGGTGTTGATGGGAAAGGTAAGAATGGCTGCACAACTTGATGCACATAACCACTGTCACTGAATTACACACGCAGGAACTGCTGAGCTGGTATATGCTTTGTTGTGGATATTCTCATCAACAAAATAAATAAAATGTAAACTCACCAAAAAAAAAAAAAAAAAAGAGAGAGAGAGAGAGAGAATACAAAAATCCAAGCAAACTTGAAATAATCTTCTAATTAAGATACTTGGTTACTTATTTATTTATTCAGTGAATATCCAATCCAAATTGTCTGCTGTAGATAGTAAGGACGTAGCAGTGAAGAAAACAAATGTTTTGTACTCTTGGATTACATTCAAGAAGAAAAATGCAGCCTTAAAGCAAGAGTAATCGGGAGCAGGGGGGTGAAGGGCACAGAATGTCACTCCTGGAAGTATAAAATCTGATAAACAGAAGTTATGTATGAAAAAGATAATAAAGAGAAGAAACTATCAAAGAAATAATAGAAAATTTCCCAGAGCTGAGGACACATATTTGTAAAACCCAAAAGAGCTCATTTTTTATTTAGGCAAACTAGAAAGAAATCCACATACAACAATCACAACGAATTAAAAAATTTTTAAATTATCCCAGAGGTTTCTATAAAGAAAGAACAGGCTTACAAATAAAAATAATCAAACAGGCAATAAGAACTCTTAAAAGAAATCTTGGATGATAGCTAACATAATAATGCTGCCTCCTCCCCCACCCCGCAAGGTTTTGAAGGAGATCATAAAGGTAAATAGATAAAGACTACATCTCAAAAATGTTTATCCCTCCCTATGCTCCCAGCCCACAACCCTGAAAGGAGAAGACTTTCTTGCACTGGCCTCTTGCTTCATTCCCGGGGCGGCTTTGGTCAATAGGAAACCAGCAGACAGTTAAGAAGGAGCAGAACAAACACACTTGTGCACTAGGTGCACCTTCTCTGCTGGCTTACCCGTTAGTGGAGGATGAGGAATCTGCGGCGCAAACCTGGTGCTCACCTGCAGCTTGGAGCCAGGCGCAGCTGAGGTAAATGGAAAGAGAAGCCCAGCTGTCTATTTGCACATAAGAAATACATGATTACCGTTGTTCCTACTGAGAGGTGCTTTGTTTGTTTGGTTGGTTCTTGACAGGGCTGGTTACACGGATAAATTGTAACAGAGTAAAAATAATGACACCTGGACCTACAAGAGGTCCAATTAAAATCTTGGGACCTGGAAGTGGAAAGGATGAAGAAACAGATGTCTTTAAATAAAGGTTTGAATATATTTTATTTTTACTATCTGAAAATAATGTTATTTCAGTTTCTTTCCGTGCTTCTGCTGTTAAACTAAAAAGTCTGCTTCACATTAGGAACAGCACACTATTTCCAGAAGAAGGGGCCATGGATGCCTACCAAGAATCACTCACTGGACATGGACACGCCTGTTCACACACAAAGAAGCCCGCCGTGGAGGAACAGAAGCACTCCACCATCAAAGGCAAAGCTTTACTGTGCCTTCTTCTAGAACTCACGAAAGTGGAGAATTGAAGGCTGGACCTACGGGGGATTTTGATGGGACTCAGCAGTTCAAACCCACCCGCAGCTCCATGGGAGAAAGATGAGGTTATCTGCTCCCATAAAGGCTTACAGCCTTGGAAACCCTACATAGAGCTGCTAAATCTAGACTGATGTGTTATTCACATCTCAGTCTGAGCCTCTGAGACACTCTCTAGATTGTTCTCTGCTGCCGAAGAGGTATCCCTTCTGTTTTCTCTTCTGATTTCTTTTATTCAAGTTCATTAAAGTGAAATTTACTCACTGTGAAGTCCACCACTGTGTCACAGCTTAATGAATTTTTTTTAAGTGTTTGCTGTCAGGTAGGTGCTACTACAAAGGACATTTGCTCATCTTCTTCTAGCCTCAAAAGACCCCTGAGAGTTTTTTATTTCTGAGTGATTTCCCAGGCAGCAACCTGAAGTAGGAACTAATATGGTCCCATTTCTAAGGTTCCAGGGCAACAGGACACTCCATCATTAGATCAGCTAGCCAAAGACTTCAAAGCTCAATAGCAACCCATTATTATAGTCCACAGTTCAGGAATATATATTTCAGTATAGGGAGTACCCTTAATAAAAAAGGATCATGGTTCAATGCTGCAGGTAAAGAAGACAAATATAAGGAATCTTACTTCCAGGCATATCCAGACTACAGAAACAGATTTTTAAAATATGTACTCAAATCACTACCACCACCACAATACCAACCACCTTACAATAAGCATGTATTGTATATCAGGCACTGTGACTAGGCACTTGTTTCTAAATGTATATGGCTTTCTGGAACTTAGTGGAGCCAGACTTCGGTCTTTCTACTGCTGCTAGGAAAGAAAGCATACTAAGTAACATGAAAGAGGCTTAGAAGGATGTGGTTTAGGAGATTTGAAGATGGAGAAATCATTCCACACCTACAAATAATCAAGGCAATTTGAAAAGCTTTCTAAGTCAGTAAGAGTCTTCCTCTTTACAGTTAGCATGTTCACAAGATCACCTGCTTTGCTTGTTGGCGTAGATCGTCTCCAACAGACTGGGGCGCAATCATTTTCCACTCTGCTGCGATGCTCCTGAACACATCAGCTCCAGTGTTTAAGGCGTGAATGAGATGGTGATCACGCGATAAATGAGCCAAGATCCTCAGTTCAAGCTGTGAGTAATCAGCAGCCAGCATTACACCACCTGAAAGAGAAATAACAGTAGAAAAGCCGGCACAAAGATATATCCAAGTCCTATAAGGAAACTAGACTCAATAAAATAACATTTTAAAAAAGAGTTAGTGAATTTATGTAACTTGGACAGACATAGTTTGAAATGCACATATTTTTGCCTCAAAATCAAATCAATACTTCTAAAAAAGATCAACTAGTTTTATTAATGTGGAATATGAAAATGATTTTTGGGGGGTACTCAGTTCAACTAATGGAAAACGCTAATGTCTGGAATAACTTGGGCAGACTAATCAACTGTCATGACTGTAACATTTATGAAATCTAAATTGCACACCAACTACATCTAATGAAATTGAGTCTAATCTGAGATGTCCTTGTAAAATAGACCCCACATTTAAAAGACTGAGTGTGAAAAAGTAAAATAACTCATTAACCACTTTATGTTAATTATATGTTTAAGTGATAATAGAATTACAATTAGTTTAAACCTTGTAATCTATTTTAATATATCTGGAAGATAGAAATGACTTACCACCAGACTAGACAAACTCTTTATCTCTGTCTCTAAAGGTATAGTTGTTTAAGACCTAAAACTCCCGTGGTAATCCTGATTCCCTTTCTTTACTAATGGGCTGCAATTGACCTAACCAATTGATGTAGCAGGACCAGTAAAAGTTCTGCTGGGTGCTTCAGCTTATTTTGAGCACTCCTGAAACCTAGGTTTCTTTCTCAAACAAGAGAGAAGGCACAGTACTCCTGTGTGAATCAAGATCCCTATCTCAGACCCAAAATGCTTGCCTGCATTTTCCTTATGACTCCATACTCTTCTCTGTACATAAATAAGCCTTACATGAGCACGTTTTGTGGAATCTGGTGAGATCTTTCAAATATTCAAACTACAAAAATCTTTACAATATGGCTACTACAAACTTTTAAATGGTCAGCATGCCTCACACTGTATTTCTGTAGAACAGCATCGCTTTAAATCTCTAACACACGTTGCTGTGCTTACACCTAAAAGGAAAAACCTAGGATTGTGTGGCCTCTGTGAATTATCTAGAAGCACCGGGCTCTAAAGACTCTCTTGGATAACTCTAACTGAATTTCGTTTGCTGATAACTCATTCTAAAAAAGCAAAACTGAAATTTTCTCAACAGGTTATGCTATCAGAGATCTCCACCCTTGCAATAGAAGTCTCACACAGAATTTTAATCCAGCCAGATGGTTAACTGCACCCACCTGGACCTGCCAGATGGCAAATGATTAAAGAGCAAATACGCACAGTCGAGATGATTTGGAACAGTGGTTCCCAACCTTCCTAATGCCGTGACCCTTTAATACAGTTCCTCATGTTGTGGTGACCTCCCCACCATCAAATTATTTTCATTGCTACTTCATCACTGTCATTTTGCTACTGTTATGAATCGGTCGACCCCGTGAAAAGGCCATTCGATCCCCACAGGTTGAGAACCACAGGTTTGGAAGTTAAATGATTTCGAAACATGTTGATGGCATAAAAAGGCTTACGGCAATACTGGGACGCTATTAGGCAGAAGGAAGGTAGTTTGGGGGCTACCCCAGGCAACAGGGGCAGGAGAGATGAAAGCAGATCAAAGCAGTCAGAAAATGCGACAAAACAAAGACAATCAGGCTAATACTGGTGCCCTCAAAGGTCAAGAGGGCAGAGAATTGAGACAAGAGTGACAAATAATGCAGAACAGACATGGGATGGGGTCAGAGAAAGTGCCCGGGGACTTTCATTGACCTGGGAAAACCTGGCTGCAGCAGACTGCTGTCGCGGAGCAGATGACACAGATGTTTCCTACTGAGCAGATAGCAACGACAATATTCACTGACTGCTATAAACATGGCCACATGGAGGGAGGGTCCATGGCATGCTTCCGAGTCTTACTCATCATCTAGGCCTTCTCAGTGCTTTGAAAACCATTCCCACAGCACAGAAGCGCTCGTAAAGCACAGCGCCTTACCTGGGAGAGGCACAAACGCATGCCGCATGCTAATGGAAAATGGCATTCCCCGGTCCGAGGCTTGCTCCCCCAGCTGTGCCCGGTGCCCGAGCTTCAGGCCATGGCTCTTTCTTTTCCTGCCTCTGTGCGCAAACAATATCATTAGCTGGACATAGAACAGACTCAACTATCTTTCAAAAGGTCTGATTTCCAATAAAGCCAACATTTCTATCTATGAAGCTCACAAACAACCTTATTATTCAACTCACTTTAGAACAGTGGTACTAGGCCTATTTTAGCAAATGTTCAATTAAACATTCAATAAGATATTTCTATAATAGATTGTCCCAAAACTAGTTCTGGAGAATTCACTGACATTTCATTTCATTCAAAAAATCTCTTGGGTCATGTCAACTGTGAATCATCTCTATGTTTGCCCTTCCTCTTGTGTGTGTGAATGGAGAAGCTCTTCCCTTTAGAGTATCATTTAAATATGCATGGAGTTCTGGTTGATATAATTAGTGGCCAAATTTTTCAGTCTCTCACCATCAACTACTAGCTTCTTTAGAGACTCAGAATCTGAACTGTATAGTGTCTGGAAGAAAAAATTAAAATCACTTCATTATCTTGCACAATGGGTTATTTTTGGGTCAAACTGGCAAAGGTTTCTCAGAATATACAGAAAAGTTGACTTTACCTTCCTACAGGAAGTAGGTCCTTGCCTAAGGCTTGGGAAGGTGGGCTTTCCTCAACCAGCATTGGCATTTTGATTTCAAAATCTTTGGGTACATTCTGAATATTGGGATCTGTGAACGTTATTCTTCCTAAAACCAAGCAGAATAAAGAGCTCATTAAAATTAGAAACTCAAAAGGCAAACATTTATCTTCACACTAATTTCATTTCGGAATTCTCTTTCAAGTGCATGCTCTATCATCGCTTGTCACTGCTAATTGTCGATGATTCGAGTCTGACTCCTGGCAACCCCCCGAGTACAGAGCAGAACTGCTTCATGGGGCTTTCACGACTGTGACCTTTGAAAGCAAATCACCAGGCCTGTCTCCAAGGTCTTCCCCGGTGGGCCCAAACACCAACAACCTTTCAGCTAGTAGTTGAATGCTTAGCCATTGGGGAGCCCCCAGGACTCCTCTACTTCTGCTAAAATAAAAACAGAAATTGGTAATTAAATAAAATATTTTTCAACATGTTGTTGTGTCATAAGATGACAAAATAAGTATCGGACCAATCATAAATAAACAAACACGAATAAGCTACTTTACATTAACTTGGCTCTCAAGAAAAATCATCTTATGATTAGAATTTGATAAACTGAACTGTTCCTAGGTCATAAAAATTAGTACCAGATGTCAGTACTATAAAATGTACTGACAATTATATTAATTACAACTGCAATTATAAAGCTAAGAAAATGGACGCTTGGAGCAATTACGACGAAAGCCTCCAAAAGCCGAGGCTGCACAAGACGGATGAGGCTCTGGGGAAGAATAAGTGACTGATGAGAACAAGGGGAGGGGGGAACTAGCTAATGCTGGAATGAGATATGGCGCTTGAAATTCACTTTCAAGACAGGCCTTGGCCTGTTTCTTCATCATCATTATTAGCACTCGTCAAGAGCATCGAGGACAGCACTAACATGGTTGGAAACTAGTAGTGGTCAGCTGGTGAGTTGTCTAGTGAGCAATGATTTCTTGTAATGGTGATAGTCTTTGTTCCTTCTGTTTTTTTAAACATTTTTTATATTCACTTATTGGTTGTATTTTTAAAAAACATAAGTATTGTTCAAAAAAGTTTGTTATAACAGTTTGTAATTGCCATTTTTATGATACACAGTGAGTTATAGTGACACTAAAATCCCGTCTCGTGATCCATTCCCTACAGAGCAGTGTTTCTAATAGCTACTGTATGAGAGTCAGTCAGAGGCATGAGTATAAGGGCTCTGGTGGCACAGTGATAAAGCGTCAGCTGCTAACCAAAAGGCTGGGACTAAAGAGCCAGAATCATTGCACAGACGAAAGTTGGGCAGTCTGCTCTCATGACGATAACAGCTTAGCAAACACAATGGGGCAGATCTACTGGCCTATAGGGTCACTGTGAGTTTAAACTGACTTGACAGTGCAAACCAGCAGAGAAAGAACGCCTTTCCCTCACCAGAATACCTTAAACCTAACCAAGGAGGCTCTGAGACACCCAAAAGGCTCTGAAGGGCTCTTTTCTGCTCAATATACTAATTTATTTAGATGCTCCCAAGGTTTAACTTTGGGAGAATCTTAAAAGGCTCAGGAGAGGTCTGGGATATAAATTAGGTAAGATTACTGACACAAGTAAATACTTAATTGCTGGATATTATTCCAAACTGTCGGTTATTCCAGTTACTCTATGCAATACTTGAAGGTAATGTCTCTTACTAAAGTCCATCTCTGAATCAAGGTAGTATCTGTCTTTTGCATGCAGTATGTGTTTAATAATATGTGTTTGTAGAACATCATTGATTCCAATGATGAACATTTGAATTCCTTGGTCATCATAAGCAAATATGGAGAAAAAAGTTTTCCTAAAAATTATTCATATCTAAGAATCTTCATCCAACCATTGTCTGTCAGATTGTTGTACTGTGGTGGCTTATGTGCTGCTGTGATGCAGGAAGCTATGTCTCCGGTATTTCACATGCCAGCAGGTAGCCTCTGGAAAACCTATGGACAGCTTCAAAATATTATCAGTTACTGAAAACCTCATGACTAGAAGCAGAATATTTTCAGACATAGTACAAGAAGATGAGCCCCTTAGATCAGAAGGCAATCAAAATATGACTGAGAAAGAGCTGCCTCCTCAAAGTGGAGTCACCCATAGAGACCCAGATGGAGTAGAGTTTGCTGGGTTAAAACCTTTAGGGAACTTCATCTGCTGATGGGGCATGACTCAAAATAAGAAGATACAGCTGCAGACACAAATTATAATTGTAACTTGGAAGGTACAAAGTATGAGTCTAAGAAAATTGGAAGTTGATAAAAATAAAATGGAACGCATAAAGATCAAGATCCTAGGGCAGCGGTTCTCAACCTGTGGGTCACGACCCCTTTGGGAGTCGAATGTCCCTTTCCCAGGGGTCTCCCGATTCATAAGAGTAGCAAAATGACAGTGATGAAGTAGCAATGAAAATAATTTCATGGTTGGGGATCACCACCACATGAGGAACTATATCAAAGGGTCACAGCATTAGGAGAGTTGAGAACTACTGCCCTAGAGGGTAGTAAGCTGGAAAAGACTAGTATTGGCCACTGTGAATCAGAAAATCAAATGATTTCCTCTGCCGGAATGACACAATTAACGGGAATGGTGTTGCAATCCAGGGGAATGGCATTACAATCATCATCCAAGTGGACATCTCAGGATCTAGATTAAAGTACAATTTGACTGTGATAGGATAATGTCTATGCGAACATAAGAAAATTTAATCAATATGACTCTTTTAAAAATTTATACACTAAACATTTAAGCCAGTGATGCAGAAATTGAAAAACCCTACCAACGTCTTCATTCTGAAAGTTATAAAAAGTGCTATCAAGATGCATTGACAACTATTGGCAATTAGAACCCAAAAGTTAGAAGCAAAGGGGAAGGAACCGTAGCTGTTAAATATGGTCTTGGTGATAGAAAAGAAACTGAAGATTGCATGATAGAATTTTGCAAGGCCAGATACTTGTTCATAGCAAATACCTTTTGTCAACAACACAAAGAACACATGAACTTCTCCAAATGTAATCCACAGAAATCAAACTGGCTACATATGTAGGAACAGAAGATGGAGAAGTTCAATATAAGCAGCTAAAATCAGGCTATGGACCAACAGTGTAACAAATCATCAACTGATCATATGTAAGTTCAGGTTTAAGCTGAACAAAATAAAAAGAAGTTAACGAGAGCCAAAATAATACCTCGAGTATATTCCATCCAAATTTTGAGAACATATCAAAAACAGATTTGATGCATTAAATACTAATGACAGGAGACCTGATGAGCTGTGAGATGGCATCAAGAATATCACACCTGAAGAATTGAAAAGGTTATTAAGAAGACAAGAAAGAAAGAGAAATCAAAGTGGATGTCAGAAGAGACAGTGAAACGAGCAACTAATCACAGAGGAGTTCAGCACACAGAAGCAGAAGGATGGGGTCGAAGGGCTGCACAGAGAGTTTTAAAGGGTAGCTCGAAAAGGCAAAAGAAATATTTTCATGAGATGCGTAGACCTAGAGCTAGAACACCAAAAAGGAAGAACATTCTCAGCATACCTTAAACTGAAAACAACTCAAGAAAAAATTCAATCTTTGGATTGCAATAGTGAGTCTATGAACAAAATATTGACTAGTGTCATCAAAAGAGCACATTGAGAATTACCACAAAGAATTAGTTGACATTCAACTATTTCAAGAGGTAGCATAGAAGCAAGTAACAGTGGTCCTAAAGGAAGAAGTTCAAGCTGCGCTGAAAGAATTAGCCAAAAACAAGGCTCCAGGAATTGATGCAATACCATCTGAAGTGTTTCAACAAGCTGATGAAGCACTGGAAGCACTCGCTGGCCTAAGGCAAGAGATTTGGAAGACAGCTACCTGGCCAACTGAGTGGAAGAGATCCATAGTTGTACCCAAATCAAACAGAATGTACAGATTATAAAGCAATAGCATTGGTATTACATGCAAGTAAAATTTTGCTGACTATCATCCAAAAATGGTTACAGCAGTACACTGACAGAAAGCTACCAGACATTCAGGCTGGATTCAGAAGAGGAAGTAGAACAAGGGATATCATTGCTGATGAACCTTGGCTGAATGCTAAAATGTCAGAAAGATGTTTACTTGTGCTTCATTGACTCGACTAAGGCATTCAACTGTGTGGATTAAAACAAATACGGATAGCCGTGAAAAGAACGAAAATTCCAGAGCACGTACTTGTGCTCATGCAGAACCTGTGCATGAGACAAGTGACAGTTGTGCTAACCGAACAAGGGAATACTGACTGCTTTAAAATCAGGAAAGTCTTATGTCAAAGGATCCCTCTCGCCATTCGTATTCAATCTACATGATGAGCAAGTAATCAGAGAAGACGGAGTATATGAATAAGAAATCGGCATCAGAATGAAAGGAAGGCTTATTAACACCTGCAATATGCAGATGACACAACCGAGCTTGCTCAAAGTGAAGACCTGAAGCACTTGCTGAGGAAGATCAAGGAGTACCAGCCTGCAGTAAAGAATACAATTCAATGCAAAGAAACGAAACTCCTCACAGCTGTACCACTGAATAACATCATCATCAATGGGGACAAGATGGACGTTGTCAAGGATTTCTTCTTGCTTGAATCCACAATCAATGTTCACGGGAGCAGCAGTCAAGAGGTGAAACGATGCACTGCATTAGGTAAATCTACTACACGGGGCTTCTTTCTCATGTCCTTTGGACATATGGTCAGGAGAGACCAGTCCCTGGAGCAGGACATCATGCTTGGTGATGTAGAGGAGCAGCGAAAAAGAGGAAGGACACAGAGGCTATAAAATGGGCTTAGACATGAGAACAATTACTGGGTGGTGCTTCACTTTGCTATGCATAGGATCGCTCGAGTCAGAACGGACCCGATGGCACCTAACAATCACAGGACTTTCATTACCTGTAGCTGTGTGAGACTGTGATACCGGATAAATTCTCTCCATTCCAAGAAAAGGATTCAGACGCTTTGCCCTCTGCAGGGGAAAGACCACTTTGGTGATAGCATTGCTGATTCTTCTCCACTCTAATATCAAGCCTGGTAAAGGATGCAGGGCCTTTAATTTATTTAAAACATCCTGAAATATATCAAAGTATAATTAGATTCTTTTAAAAATTCCACAGTAATCTGATTAAACAAAGTATTTGATAAATCCTGCACCTATTTCTCAAAATTACTGTTTGGGATTTATTGGGAATCACCAAAATGATAAGAACATTACAAGTGTAATTTATAAAATACAAAAATGCTAATTCTGAAGAATCCCAATTTAAATCAACTTTACAGAAAAAAAAATCAATAAAATGTCAACTCCGCACAGTTATTTTCTCCCCACTCCTCACCCAGGAGGTTCTCATCACTACTCTTTCCCTGTGCACGTGGCTGCTCCACCCCTCACAGGACAGCAGGCTTCCCACGGTTTGGGGTTTGTTTTTCTTTCCCTTCTTATCCTAATACTCTGAGGGTTTCTACACCAAGGAAGGCAAAAGGTATTCATTTAAAAATATGTCAAATTTTTCATGCTAGAAACATTCAAAGGACAACTAAAGAATAGAAATTTGTGAAGTTAACAGCTCCAGGGAGATAAAATCCATGCGTGTCCTGCTGTATAAAGGGCAGGCAAGTCACAGCAAAGGGCACCCAGTCAAAAATGGCCAGAACGACACCGCCCCTCCATGGGTGCTGTGGCCCCATGTTCCACCCTTACTCCACAATTAGGAAACAGATGGCAATCAGCCCTTAAATCGGTTTTCTCCTACATTTTCCTTGAATGTGATAAGCCCCTTTCCGGTGAAATTAGCAGATCAGATTTTACAACAAAGCCATGAGAAGCTTACTCGTTTGCTCCAGGAACTGAAAGTTTACTTGCATGAGATACTGCTTTCTTTCCATTTCAATACTTCCGCATCTTTTTCATGTTCATATAACTTCACTAGACGTTCAAGAATAGTGATTGGCAAAGATTAAATAATGTCTACAGGAATGAATTTATGAATCTTTATCCTGTGATAATAATAGAGAGGACCCAATTGCTAACTAGAGTCTGATCCAAAATCTCTGTTGGATTGTTTCCAGTTTTCTAGGCTACTGAACCAAAATTGTTTGTTTTATTTGGAAAGATTCATACGGTGAGAGGTTGGCTATGGTTTCTGATTTCATCAGCATTCTCACAAAACATCGAAATGCTAAAGGCAGCAGGGATTCTACCCTGCGACAGTATCTTACTAGTGCTGTACCTTACTGGTGCTGAACTGTCTTCCCAGCTTTGGGTGGTGCCCGTTGTCAGGCCCTCTTCTGGTCGACCCCAAAGTTTTCTTGCTGCCCTGGTTTTTTCTCTCTCCATTGGGTGGCAACTTCAATTCCAAAAATAATACCTGTAAGAAATTCATACTTTTCTTAAGTCAGCCATCAGATCACATTAAGAAAATATTTTAAAAGTTGAGAAAGTAATCTCTATAGTTCAATGAGGGTTAGAAAAATGTTTCTTTCAGATAATTGAGAATTACTACAATTAATAGATGATACCAGTGAGAATTTCTATGTCATGTAAGCAATCCAAACTCTTAATTAGGTAATATTACATTAACAATAACACCAAGCTTTTTTAAAAAAATCATTTTATTGGGGCCTTGTACAACTCTTATCACAATCCATACATGCATCCATTGTGTCAAGCCCATTTGTTGCCATCATCATTCTCAAAACATTTACTTTCTCCTCGAGCCCTTGGTATCAGCTCCTCATTTCCCCCTCCCTCCATGCTCCCCCCTCCCTCATGAACCCTTGATAATTTAGAAATTATTATTTTGTCATGTCTTCTTACACTGTCCAATGTCTCCTTTCACCCACTTTTCTGTTGTCCATCCCCCAGGGAGGGGGTTATATGTAGAACTTTGTAATCGGTGCCCCCTTTCCACCCCACCTTCCTTCCACCCTCCCGGTATCTCCACTCTCACCACTGGTCCTGAAGGGATCATCCATCCTGGATTCCCTGTGTTTCCAGTTCCTATCTGTACCAGTGTACATCCTCTGGTCTAGCCAGATTTGTAAGGTAGAATTGGGATCATGATAGCGGGGTAGGAGGAAGCACTTAAGAACTAGAGGAAAGTTGTTTCTTCATTGCGACACTACACCCTATTTCGTCTCCTCCCTGTGACCCTTCTGTTAGAGGATGTCTAGTTGCCTACTGAGTTAGTTTATTGTGCCAACCTGGCCAATAAACACATGTGGGGTTAATTGAAGGGCAGAGGGATAAATGGCTCAATGAGCCTCACCTTTCGTGTTCTCAGGTCTCTTGCTTTCTGATGGTCGCACCAGGGTGCAGCTGCCTTAGCAATTCCCTGCTTTAGCTTGCAAGGCTGACTTCCTGCAAGACATCTCCAAGGAGAAGCCACATGGACCTACCCCAATGCAGCCCTGGGTGCTGGAGCACCCGTGTGGAGACCCCTGCCAGCGCTGAGATGCTTACACATTCACTGACTCAGCTTTCCTCCTGCAGTCGGCATCGTAGTGTCTGTTTTGTGAGATGGAGGAGGACTTTGTGGACTGGTGTTAGACATATGGGCTAATGGGTTAATGTTGGACTTGTGGGCTGGGCAGCACTGGGTTGGGATGTGTTCTTGATACACACTTAACCTATATATAAAACTCTCTCTTATACATGAGTTTCTGTGGATTTATTTCTCTAAAGTACCCAGACTAACACACCTACAGATGGGTTTTGGGTCCCCCTCTGCACTCCCCCTCATTCACAATGATAGGATTTCTTGTTTTTTTGATGCCTGATACGTGATCTCTTTGACACCTCATGACCACACAGGCTGGTGTGATTCTTACATGTGGGATTTGCTGCTTCTGAGCTGTATGGTTGCTTGTTTACCTTCAAGCCTTTAAGACCCCAGACGCTATATCTTTTGATAGCCGGGTACCATCAGCTTTCTTCACCACATTTGTTTATGCACCCATTTGTCTTCAGTGAGCTTAACACCAGGCTTTTAATATAAAAAAGAGCATAGGACTTATTCTGTGATATGCAATTGGTGAGTAAGCTATTGACAATGAGATTTGGGTGGTTCTGAGGATTGTAAACCAAAACCAATCTCATTGCTATCAATGTGGACTCATAGTGACCCTATAGTCCACGGTAGAACTGTCCTTGCAGGTTTCTAAGAATGTAACGCCATGAGAATACAAAGTCTCGTTTTTCTCCCACATAGCAGCTGGTATTTTTGAACTGCTGACCTTGCAATTAGCAGCCCAATGCAAAACCACTATGTAACTAGTGCTCCTGAGGATTGTAAGTTCTACTGAAAAAAAATAATAAAACAAAAGCACCCTTGAATTGATAACTAACATGGCTACTCAATTAAGTCCCACAGCAGGTGGACATCATGAACATCTCGGAAGCCTGCAGGGCGGATATTACATGATCACAAAATCAGAAAACACTACAGTTAGAAGGTGTTAAAAGAGTCATCTAGTCCCGCCACCACTGGGACGAACTGTGGGAGTTCCTGGGAGCAAAAAGTTAGAAGGGCTGCCAACTCAGTGGGGCCACACAGGATCTACACGGGGCGGGGACCCGAGCTGTGGGGCGGAAGAAGATCCAGTGTAACTCATCAATTACAATTAAAGAGGTTATCATTTAGGAAATTCAGGACATGACATACTCTATTCATTCATGTATATACCATGAATGGACTTTAGCAAACCCTGAGTTATTTTCTCACTAATAATTCTAGAAATTCAAAACATTTGCAGAGACAGGACTTTCTCAACATGTGCCCAGTTCAAAGAGTCAAGTTAAAATCATGATAGATCAAATAGTAAATGTGCAAAATGATTAATTACCTTAAATATCATTTCCACTTTAACATGAAAACTTGAAACACCAACCTAACACTAAAGGCTTTATTCTAGCCTGATTCTGGTCTGAGCTAATGGTTTCTATGTGTTATCTGCTATTTGAATGTGTTATCTGCTATCTGAATGTATTATCTGCTATCTGAATGTGTTATCTGCTATCTGAATGTGCTATCTGCTATCTGAATGTGCTATCTGATATCTGGACGTGCTGTCTGATATCTGAGTGTGTTATCTGATATCTGAGTGTGTTATCTGATATCTGAATGTGATATCTGGACGTGTCATCTGCTATCTGAGTGTGTTATCTGCTATCTGAATGTGTTATCTGCTATCTAAATGTGTTGTCTGATATCTGAATGTGTTATCCGATATCTGAATGTGCTGCCTGATATCTGAATGTGTTATCTGATATCTGAATGTGTTATCTGATACCTGAATGTGTTATATGATATCTGAATGTGTTATCTGCTATCTGAATGTGTTATCTGCTATCTGAATGTGTTATCTGATACCTGAATCAAAAAAGGCACCAATCTCTGCTGTTGCCCCAGATGTGCTTGTGCTGAAACCCAGATACTCTAGATTTTTTTATAAGTAGTTGTTCCTAAGTCCCTAAGCAATTGTTCATGGAATCAGGTAAACAGGGGCACAAGAACTACTGGACTAAAAAATTCATAAAAGCCAGGAAAAATAGCAAACAAAAATCCTACAACTTTAGAAGAAACACATTTTCTCATGTACTCTACGGCTTGTAACTGTATAGCTTAAAAACACATAGCTTTTAAGGATCTATGTTATTTACTGGCTATTTATGATGAGTTGGGCACAATAAATTGATTTTGTCATTTACTCCATACAGCAACCCGTGAGGGAGTTCGGTGACTGCCCACCTTGCAGTGGTGAGGAAACTGAGACCCAGAGAGCTGCTGTACGGCTGTGCCACGGAGCCCGACAGCTGACAACCGTTACTAAGACACTGCATGACGGAGTCACATCCCGTCACTTAGTGTAGGCATCCACGCTGCGAGTGGAGCCCCTCTAGCACAATCTAGTCATCCTCTGTGGGGAGAGGAGAAGATACGGCACCAAAGTTTGATAATAAAAACAAAAGTAAACTTTGTCAAAATTCCTACACAGTGCTAAAACCTTAATTAAATTTAAAAACATTCCTTTTCTCAGGTAATCTTAGATATATGTATTATTTTATATTCTTAAGAAAGAGTACTGAAGTCCAGAAGGAATAAGGATTCATTAAGTTCCTTAATGCATAAACAGCTGCACTGTTATATAACTACCACTAAGAATTGCTCATTCAACAAATGTTTGTTCCAGGCAAATCTATTCACGTAATTTGCATTCTAAGATCCTTTTGGTTTTTTCTACTTTCTTTTTTTTCATACATAAAGGAGTAACTTGTAAAGTAGATGCTTGGATATTCTATTCCCAAATAATTCTGAATCTTTAACCATTTATATTAACCTAATCTTATGTTTTAGCCAATCTACATATACACCTAATTTTTAACTTTTAAAAATTACTCTTTTAAATGATACAACCTCAGCAATGTCATCTGAACTGGTGAAGGAAAAACTGTGGCCGGCAACTTGATAGGCCTGCGTCTCGATTGCATCCAGTTTGGCTTGCATTATGTGCTTCTGACTTTCACATTCTGCAGCACTGAAGCCGATTCCGTTTAGTTCAAGCAAGGCCAAACAGTACTGAGAAGGCATTTCCACTTTATAGAAAGCATCTTGAAGACAAAAAAAGGGGAAAGTTAAGACATTAATTCATCAACCAGGTAAGTAGAACAGCAGCATTAACTAAACACAAATAGAACTGGCTATTAACATCCAAAGATTGCTACCCAAGCATCAGGATGTTATCTCCTGAGTAGCATTCTCAAAACTGCAATGAAAAAAGAAAAGGGTAGGCCACTTTAGCACTAAACTACTATTCTTGTTTATGCAGAGTGTGGAAGAGTTGACGATCTCGTGAACAGTTTACAAGTTACCATTGTACGACAGTGTTTCTGCTTCTACACTTAGCAGATGCACGATCATCAGCCTTTGTTTGATAGGCTCAATACAAAAAGATTAGTACTCCAAAATTAATTCCACGATTCCTGCCTCCAGGGTGCAGGTATGCCTGCACAAAGAGGTTCCATAATCTCCGATACTCTGCTAGAATAATGATAATATTCTTGAATAAAAATCTGATTTTTTTAATCTACTGACATTTCTCAGCCAAGTAAACATGCTATTTCAGTTGTACCAGGATGGCCATTGGGCTATTAATCACAAAGATCATCTATAAAAAGAGTGGCACTGAGAAACACGGTTTCTGCATCCCACATGTCGCTTTTGAATACTGCTTGTTACAGGAACTGTTTTCAGAACACCAGAAGCAAAGTTGAATTCTTACTTTCATTTCAAGTGGAAATCCTAAATTTATATGACTTATTTGAACTAAAAGGGCAGCATATATCTATTAGAGTACAGTGGTCACACCTAACATCCCTTAAAGGTTTTGTTATGCTCAAGAGGCTTAGAGCACACCCCATCAATCACAGCGATATGATTTTTTGTTCTGGGTCTTTGATGCAGAGTGCAGACCCAAAACCCATCTGTAGGCAACTGGACATCATCTTAAAGAAGGGTCGTGGGGAGGAGACAAGCCAGTCAGGGTGCAGTACAGAACCGTTGAAACATACAACTTTCCTCTAGTTCTTTAATACTTCCTCCCCCCACTATCATGACCCCAATTCTACCTCACAAATCTGGCTAGAGCAGAGCATGTACACAGGTACAGATAAGAGCTGGAAACAATGAACTACCTATAATCCCCTCCCAGGGGGATGGACAACAGAAAAGTGGATGAAGGGAGACATTGCTCAGTGTTAAGACATGAAGAAAAAAAAAATTTATAAATTATCAAGGGTTCATGAGGGAGGGGGGGCGGGTGAGAAGCTGACACCAAGGGCTCAAGTAGAAAGAAAATGTTTTAAAATGATGACAGCAACAAACGTATATATGAGCTTGACACAATGGATGGCTATATAGATTGTGATGAGTTGTACGAGCCCCTAATAAAATGGGTTTTTTTAAAAGATGAAGATTGCCATATAAACATGGTTGGAGACAGATCAATATAATATAGTTACTAGTGGGACTATCAGAGCAGGGGCCAAAATTGGGGCACCAAGGAGCTTACAATATTGACCCAGGAGTTTCCCCAAGGCAAGCAGGGCATAGATCATGGACATGAGACCCTAAGTGTGGTGATCTTCATCAAATATACGTAAGTCCCTAAAGGAGACTGCCCCTCCCTGAGCTGATCAGGGAGGTGGAAGTAATCCAGTTTCCAATCTGTCTGAGAGAAAACTATTCACATACCTGGCCAATGGTCAGAGAGAGGCTTAATCCATGTGGGGACTCTGCAAATGGATTTTGGGCTTTCACCATCATACATACCCTTCAGCAAACAAGGTGCTCAGTTTAAGCTCTAATTTAAATAAGCTCTAATACAACTCCTGCTTCTGACCACTGATTTTAGTAACAATCCTTAAATCACACAGGCTGGTGTGTGCCTTCCATAGACTTAGTTGACCTCCCTTAGATGGTTGTTTGCTTTAATACAAGCCTTTAAGACTCCAGACACTATTCTTTCTGATCCTCAGGCACCATCTGATTTCTTCACATATTTCTATAGCACCCATATCTTCAGTGATCACAAAGGACTAATTGTTATTGACTGGTTTATACTGGTAAAGTGTATGGAAGTGGGGAGGTGGGGAAGTAACCCTCAAAGTATTAAATATGTACAGAAAACCATGACTGAAAAAGGCTAAGAAGTGGTCTGCAGTACACAGTTTCTCATATATAAATGACCTTTTCTGGCCTTGAGTTTATAATTCTGCCAAAAACAAATGGTTTGGCTGCAGTCTTCACTGTGATTGGTTGATTTTACACACTTTGCAGGGATTGGTAGGCTTACTATGCAAATAATGATGCATAAAACCACCCATTAAGATTGACTAACTTGTAGGGAACGGTCAGTATGTGGTACTGCTGGGAGGGTCTTGAAATTAACAAAGAACTTTGCTTACATAAGCAGTAAACCTCACAGAGATTTTTAGAGGCAAGGAGAGAGAGGAAATGGAAACCTCCTAAAAGACCTATAACAAAGATCAAGAGCTCGAAGTTAGTTTAAGATGGTAAAATGAAAAAGAAACTAAGGGGTTACCTCGAGGCTTGCTAGCTGAACTACAAACCTGAAGGGCAAGAAGGGCAGAGGCCCAGGGGAGATCATGAACAGAGCCAGCAGTGACGGCAGAAAGTTGTTACTATGAGAGTAGCATGTAAGTGGGTTGTTACACTAGCCATGAGTTGGGCCAGTTGGTAGCAGAGAGGCCAAAGCAGAGATGAAGTATGCACACCAAGAGAAAGGCCACCCTGAAAGCTGAGAAGAGTTGTTTATTGAGAGATGTCCTGCCAGTAAGCTGTCCTGAATGACAAAGCTGATCCCTTTCCTGAGTTGTATCCTGTTATATCCAAGTTGATCTTGATTCTAAGTGATAACCTATTATTTCCTTAATAACCATATAACTGTGAGTATATTCTGTGAGTGGCCATTACAACAAAAGCATTGGACCCAGCAGAGAAATAGTGTGCCATGGGGCAGTGTCAGAAATGGTGAAAAAGATGAAGAGGAGATATGTCCAACCTCCACCTCATAGGAGCCAGCTTCATGTTGATCCTCTTATCCCTCAGGAGGTTAAGCAGCTTAAATGCTACGGCTGCAAAACCCTTTATTTAATGTAACATGTATTAGCATTCTAGAAAGTAAGTAAGTGTTTGAAGAATGTGCTAACTCATTAAAAGAAAACAACTGCAACAACAACTTGAGTTCTGAGGACAGTGGGTCACTAGGGGTCTGAGCAGCACCACTGTGCCCTCCCAGGCCCAGCACACGTTCTTTGCAGTACTGTTGCTCTTGGACAGCAGTCAGGAACCCATATAACCAACACCAAAAATTAAAAAATGAGAAGATAACATTAAACAGTTAATGGCTGGTACTGGGCAGTTAGAAGCCTGGCTTTAGTGGTGTGGAGCCAGTTAGAAGACTCTTGACATACAAGGAGCTCAGGTCAGGAAAGCAGTAGAAGCAGTCAGAGCAGCACAGAGTCAGAGTGGCAGGGTCCAAAGTCAATAGTAAGAAGCAAGGCTGTCATGAAAATGAATCCTATAGCAAAGAGACTGAACGATTTAAAAATCCTGGAAATAGCAACAGGAGGAAAAGCTATCTCAGACTTCTGTTCTGAGGCAAAGCTTCAAGAAAGATTAATATGGTCCTTGGATGCAGTAACCAGCAAAGACAAGAACAAATTTTATTCTAGAAGGCTTTCCCAAGTTAGGCCTGCAGGGTGCAAACTATTGAATGTATATGAAGGTACAAATATGAAAAACTACAAGATAGCAAAGAAGTATGAACGAGACTGCAGAACAACAAACAACATATTTAGACCCCCAAAATATGAAAGGATTAGACTCGTAATAAGTAAACACAAGGAATTTCATTACAGATACCAGAGTAAGATGGCAGTATAAGGAGATGCAAAATCCTGACCCCCCACCTCACCCTCACAAAAACACCACAACAAGCAGAAACTGGCAGAGCCACTTTTGTCTGAACCCTGGACAAGTAAAAAGTCAATAAGTAGATGTCGAATCAATAAAATAATTAATCATCTAAGCAGTGGGGAAACTGTTTTTCTCTTTGCCTGCTCCTCACCTCACATCTGACTTGGAATGACAATGTTAAAGTTATGGTAAATCCCTTCTTTTTATAGATAGATAGCATCTGTGATAATTAGATTTATTGTGCCAACTAGGCTTCCTAAGGAACATATGGGTGGAATTTAATTTAGGCAGGGTTCTCTAGAGAAACAAAGCTAGGGGCTTGAAGGTAAACAGCAGCCATCTAGCTCAGAAGCAACACAGGCCACACGGAAGAAGCACACCAGCTTGTGCGATCACAAGGTGTTGAAGGGATCAGGTATCAAGCATCATCAGAACAAAAAATCTTATCATAGTGAATGAGGAGGGGGAGTGCAGAGTGGAGGCCCAAAGCTCATTTGTAGGCCATTGGAGATCCCCTTGCAGAGGGGTCTTGGGGAGGAGACGAGCCAGTAAGGGTACGATGTCGCAACAATGAAATATACAACTTTCCACTAGTTCCTAAATGCTTCCTCCTCCCCCACTATCATGATCCCAATTCTACCTTACAAATCTGGCTAGACCAGAAGATGTACACTGGTACAGATAGGAACTGGAAACACAAGGAATCCAGGACAGATGATCCCTTCAGGACCAATGGTGTGAGTGGCGATACCGGGAGGGTGGAGGGAGGGTGGGTTGGAAAGGGGGAACTGATTACAAGGATCTACATGTGACCTCCCCCCTCGGGGACAGACAACAGAAAAGTAGGTGAAGGGAGACACTGGACAGTGTTAAGATATGACAAAATAATAATTTATAAATTATCAAGGATTCATGAGGGAGCGGGGAACAAGGAGGGAGCGGAGAGCAAGGAGGGAGGGGAAAAATGAGGAGCTGATGCCAGGGGCTTAGGTGGAGAGCAAATGTTTTGAGAACGATGAGGGCAATGAATATACAAAGTGCTTTACACAATTGATGTATGTATGGATTGTGATAACAGTTGTATGAGCCCCTAATAAAATGATTAAAAAAATCCTAGGATACTTAGATAGATAGATAGATAGATAGATAGATAGATAGATAGATAGATAGATAGATAGATAGATAGATAGATAGACAGACAGACAGACAGATTTATATAGCAGGAAGGAGTATAATAGCTAATTAGTCCACAGAGCCGTACAGAGGGCTCAGTTCAACCCACTTTTATGAAACAGCTAATATACTGAAAGTACTTCAACTCATGAAGGGGGCTTTGGTCCACGGTCAAGGAAGCAGACAGCAGAGTCTTCCCTCAGGCAAAACAGGCAGAGTGCCTGCAGGCAGCAACAGGCAGCAAGCATCAGTAGCACCAGAGCGCAGCGAAGCAGGCCTGGATGGGCCCGAGGATATTGAACTCATGGGATAGCAAACTCAAGCAATGCAAGGCAACAGAATCCACTAGCCTCAAGCTCTAGCAATGTACACACAGCAGCTTGGCAAAGCAGGTCTCAAAGGAGCCTCAAGTTCTAGGACATGATCCACAGGTTGGCTTGGCCCACAGGTAGTGTAGCACACATAGGTTGAAGCAGAGAAATAGTTAAAGCAGCACCATGCTGGTCCAATCACTAGAGAGCAAGAGGGAGGGGGGACGGGCTGGCACAGCCATTTATCTTGTTGCCCTCCAATCAAGCTGCGACCTAATTAAACTCTGCCCACACATTCCTATTGGACTAGTTGGCATGAAAAACCTAACTATCACAATCAGGTCGCAGCTTGATGGAGGGTGACAAGATAAATGGCTTTCCAAGTTCGGCCCCCTTCTTTCTTCATAAGGATCCATCAGGCTGCTTTGCTATGCTCCTGAGCTACCGGCCTTTGCCATGCCTCAACTTCTCATCTTCCTTCTGCTGCTGCCCCACACTGCTTGTCTTGCCTGAGGGCAGACTTCGCAGGCTGCTTCCTTGACCTTTGACCAGCAGCCCTCATGAGTTGAAGGACCTTCAGTGTATTAACTGTTCAAAGTGAATTGAACTGAGCCCTCTGTACCTGCTGTGTGGACTAATTATGTATTTTCCTTTTTCCTATATAAATCTACATACATACATACATATATATATATATATAAAATAAAGTGGAGCCTGCATAGTTTAAGGTTTATGTAGTTCTATCCATATATATATGCACATATATATACATACATACATATATATGTAGGCTCCACTTTATTTTATATACATATATAAAATATATTTTTATATTTATATTATAAATATTTATATATATTATATTTATATATATATAAAGTGGAGCCTGTGTAGTTTAAAGTTTATGTAGTTCTTTCAACAACAAAAGCAGTGAGGCATAAATATTTTACACAAAAAGTTCAAATTCAGAGTTTTAGAAAACCTGTAGTTGCTCCCTTCAGCATGATGGCCTGTCATCAGGACCATCCAACGAGTTATTTGATTGCTATTGTTACTTGATTGCTATTTTATTGCTATATATATGAATATATATAATCATAAATGTCCTGGTTTTGTTTCTCTAGAGAACCTTGCCTACCACAGCATCTTTAAGAACTAGAACCCCACCCCCATTGCCAAGTGGATGTGTCTTGTAGTACCCAGAATATCCTTACAGGAATGGACAGCCTCACCTTTCTCCATTCACAAATAGAATCATGTAATTCTGAAAACAGCCATGCCCATTCATTTTTGTGTTTTCTCTAGGGCTGCTTTTAAGACAACAATGGTAGAGTTGAGTATTTGTGATAGAGATCATCTCATCTGGAAAGCCAAGAATATTTACTATCTGACTCTGCACTAGACAATTCAGATAAAGGGTCTGTATAAAATGTATTATTTACCCACTTAGGACAAAGAGTGGTTAAATACTCATACATGAGTATAGCTAGGCCAAGTCTGTAACATCATGAAAAATGCCAAATGCTTTGTTTTTACCTCGAAGATTTTCCTTCTGCAACAAGGAATCAAGTTGAATCATCGAGTTGAAGATGAGGATGGATTCTACAGATGCTCGGAATCTTCCAGAGTGAGGAGTGTTGACATTCAGCCCCAGGCTCTGAAATCCTTCCCCAGTCTCCATCCCTTCCAGGAGAGGAAGCCCTTGAGGAAGAAAGCTGGTAACGATGCTGTGAAGAGTCGGCTCCTTAGAATCTGGGTCTAATAACCAGCAGGCTACCTGAATTGGATTGTAATATGAGTATTTCTTGATTTTTTAAATGACATTACTGTATCCTTAAATTAAATAGAGGAAAAAAAAGCTCATTTTTATATATCCTTCTATTTTCCCTTACTACTTGAAAATTTCTAATTTTCAGAGACAAAAAGGATAATTATAAAATGGGCTTTTTTTGCTTTTTCTTTTCATGGTACTAAAGCAGTGGCTTTCAAAGAAGCAAAGTTATAACTTTTCTATTACAGCAACGCTTCTGCTGAAACAAGTGCCTCTCAGCTAATTAAAGCAATGTGTCTGAAAATGCTTATGAACTCTTCTCCACTAAGGGTGATTTTAGCTAAGCCACTAAGGTAAAGTGGAGCCTGCACTGCATAGTTTAAGGTTTATGTAGTTCTTTTGACACCAAAAGCAGTGCGGCATAAATATTTTACACAAAAAGTTCATATTCAGAGTTTTAGAAAACCTGTGGATGCTCCCTTCAGCATGATGGCCTGTCATCAGGACCATCCAACGAGTTATTTGATTGCTATTATTAGCATCCTGATGAGACCAAAAGATACATAGTTTGAATAATATACTTGGGAGATAATGAACTGGATTTAGAATAAGAAAACCTAAAACTTGTTAATAATTCTGACAATTACTATGCAGCTCAGTTATTTCTTTTCTAAGTTAGGAATGAAGTTTAATAATGAGGTATTGGGTAAGTTGGTCTGATTTAAAAATGAACAAATGTCTCTTATAACAGTGAAATTTCATGGTTTATCATTTCATCAAAAATGTTATGATTTAAATACCACATATGAAATATGTCAAATATTTTAAAACAAAGGTGCTACATAAACCTAAAATGTTAGTACCGTTTTAATAAGAGGCTCCTATTAACCAGAATTTCATTTTGAATGCCAGAACATCAAAATAAAGTAGCAACCTTTTATATCCAGGAAAAAAGCAGTTTTAAAACTGTGTGGAGTTTATCTAGTGCTGTCTTCGAAACCTTTGTCAAAAATACTATGAAGAAACTAAAATATATAGTTTGCACATTGCTAAAAACTATCAATAATAATATTTCTCAACTCTTAATACTCATATTTTTATCTCTTTGAAGACTATATTAAAAATGTATAATGCCCGTTAGGATAATCAATCATTAAAAGGGCAGCATTTACCCAAGAATAAAGTTCAGAGGGTTAGCAAAGGAAGAATGGAAATAAACCACAAGGTAGAGGTAGGGTAAGTGATGATACATTTACGGGATTGTAATCAATGAGTTTGACATTTGTGACAACTCTTTTCTCTTCCAGTTGTTTTATTTCCATTTACTTAATTTTACCTCTTTTATCTACACAGAAGAATTTGTGCATAATTTTCTGTTCCTGGTAAATGGAAATTACTGAATAAAGAAGTGACTACTCTATGATTTAAACTGCATTTTGGGAGCTTAATAAATACCAAGTCATTTAAGACTTGGTCCTCTCATTTTTCATCTATGTCAGTAGTAAAATTCTTATTGTCATACTATATTAATGATGCAAGTCTGGCAACAACAAGCCCTGAAGTGCAAGGTGAGAGTTATACTGGTTGTGATGGATGAGTATGTATTGATTTGACTAAGCCACGATTCTCAGTAGTTTGTCAGTTATGCAATAATGTAATTTGGCTATTATGTAATGATTTAACCATTCTCAATTTTGTGATCTGACTTGGTCAACCTCCATTTTTGTATAATGCTGATTTTTGCACAATGTCCTGGCCTTTGGTACCTAACTATGTCAATAAGTAAAGAATGAGTTTTACTAAAATTGGAGCAGCGAATAGAAGACTAGTAGATCATATGCAAAGTTATCTTATACATTTGTGAGTTAATCTATATTTTCCAGTATAGGCCTCAGAAGATATGAGTGTGGGGAATCAGGGGAGTAAAAGATGTTAGAAGTTCTTAAACTCAATCACTAATATTTCATGTATTTTAGTATATGAAATGCTAATAAACAGTTGATCTTGGATGTGAAAAAAAGAAAAGAATCAGCCCTCAAAACGAATGTTTTTGATGTAGGTAAAACTTAAGGAAGATATGGAACCTTTGGATCTTCATAACTTTGTTCCAGGGCAATGCCACAAGACAGAAGAAGAATTTTAAAGCTCTCGATGAAATCATAGATGATGACAGAATGCTCCTTATCAGAATCCTTTTGCAAGCAGGACTGAAGGTGCCACATCCTGTGTTTCACAGTCAGGCTGGGATCCAGAGAAGGTGGTGCCAAACTTGCGCTGATTTCTGAAAAATAAGTTTTAAAGAAAAGTGACACATATTCATTTCAAGCAGCAGCTCTCGGGAAAGACAGAAAAGACTCAGAAGCCTTAGGTCTGGTTCCACGGAACTGCCAATTCAGCATGACCTTACCCAATTGCTTCATAAACAGAAAACTATTATTTGGGCCAGATTGTTGCCGTATGCCACCAGGTCGATCCTGACTCACAGCAAGCCTATGACAGAGAACCATCCCACAGGGCAGTGGTTCTCAACCTTCCTGATGCCGTGTCCCTTTAATACAGTTCCTCATGTTGCAGTGACCACCCCCCAACCATAAAATTATTTTCATTGCTACCTCATAACTGAAGTTATGCTATGGTTCTGAATCAGGCGACCCCTGTGAAAGGGTCATTCGACCCCCAAAGGGGTCGCGACCCACAGGTTGAGAACCGCTACCATATGGTTTCCTTCACTATGGGAGCAGATCACTCGGTCTTTTCTCCCATGGAGGGGCTGGTGAGTTTGAGCTCAAGTCCAGAAATGGGTGGAAGAAGACCACACAATATTCATTGACAATGATAGCCACTACAGATGGGGTCTCACATGGTTCTGCATTTTCAATTTTCAATAAACAAATATCTTGACCTTAACAAGCCTTTGGATTGATGATTGCCAAAAGCATCGTGCATTTTCCATCAGCTTTTAAGCAAGACTAAGGCTAATAGAAGACACTTTATGGAATGAACTATAAGTTGGGACAAATCTTGGATTTACTGATGCAATCTAGAGAGCAATACCCAATCCAAACGCTGGTTTCTGCGGGGAACTGATGCAGTAAAATAAAAGAAGAAAGGTCATCTCCTCAGAAGGTTGTGGAAATTCTTTGGATTCCCAAGGGGTATTCTTGGTAGATTTTCTCAGAGGAGGACACACAGGCTAATCATAGTAGCTTATTAGGAGACTTTTAAAAAATGGAAATGCTTGATGAAATACAGTATTGAGCCCAGGAATCTTTTTTCCATCAAGACCATGTACCTGCTCATTCTTCAAGGGTAGCAAGCACTGTTCTACCAAAACGTTGCTGAGAAACCTTACCCCACCCACCTGACCGTCCTGGCCTTGCTGCTTCAGATTACTTTTTGTTCCAAAACTCCAAGAATATTTAAAAGGAATGCAATTTGAGCCCTCTCTCTCTATATATATTTTTTATTTCATCAAGAGTTTAGTAAGTTTTATGAAATGAATAAATATTACAAGCATTGCTCTAAATTTTTTATTATTAAAAGATCATTTTATTATGGGCTCTTATAACTCTTATTAACCCATACATCAATTGTATCAGGCATATTTTTACAAATGTTGCCATAATTATTTTCTAAACATTTACTTTGTATTGAGGCCTAGGTATCAGCTCTTTTCTCCCCTCTTCCCCCCGCCCCCCCCAACCCTTTGATAAATTATAAATTATTTTCATATCTTACAAGGACTGCTGTCTCCCTTCCCACATGGTTTCTGTTGTTCACCACCACCCCTGGGGGGCGGAGTGATGTTATGTGTCAGTTCCCCTTTTCTCCCTTCCTCTCCCCATCTTCCCTGTACCATCCTGAATCGCTCCTCCCATTCCTATTCCTGGATTCCGTGTGTCATGAGTGCTTATCTCTTATCTGTACGTATGCACTTGCTCTGGTCTAGCCCGCAGTGAAAGGCAGGACAGGGGTCATGATAGTGGGGGGTGAAGAAGCCTCAAGGAAGCAGAAGAAATATTGTGTGTTTCATCAGTGTTATACTGCATCATGGTTGACTCATTCCTTCCTTGTGACCCTTCTGTGAGAGGATGTCCCATTGTCTACAGATGGGTTTTGTGTCTCTGCTCTGACCCCCCTCATTCTCAACAATGTGGGGATTTTGTTTGTTTGGAGTCTTCTGGTACCTGTCACCTGATCCCATCAACACCTCATGATCACACAGGCTGGCGTGCTTCATCCACGTGGGCTTGCTGCTTCTCTCCTAGATGGCTGCTTGTTTAACTTCAATCCTTTAAGACCCCAGACCCTATATCTTTTGATAACCGAGCACCATCAGCTTTCTTCACATTTGACTATGCACCCATTTTGTCTTCAGCACTTGTACTGGGACAGTGATCATCACAGAATGCCAGGTTGTTAGAACAAAGTGTTCTTGCATTGAAGAGGGCTTGAGCAGAGGCCCGAAGTCCATCCACTACCTCAGTGTATTGATTATATATATATATGTGTGTGTGTGTGTATATACATATATATGCCAATACCTCTATTTTATGAATTAATGTATGTACACACATTTATGAATTAATGTATGTACATATGTACACACTTATGTTTATCCCTCTATCCATACCTTTGCCTCTTAGATCTTTCCTGTTTCCTTTTACCTTCCTCCTGCCCCACCATCACGCTCACCATTCTTCTGCCTCAGTAATTCCTTTCAGCTAGATTGCTGTTGCTCCAACACCCCCAAGTCCTCCTAGTTGTTGATTTTAATTCCCTAGTTGTTCCCCTGTCTATGGGGTTGTTTGCTCACTGCTCCCTTCCCCCGTCTCCTCCTCCCTCAAAGTCTCTCCCAAAATGTTGGTCCCATTGCTTTCTCCTCAGGCTTGCTTCCCATGCCTACCTTATATAAGTGGGAAAATCAACAATAACAGAGACCAAGCAAAAATTAAAATAATTATAATAGCAAAGCAAAACAATAAAGTATACATAATTCCAGGTCTGTCCGCTGACCTTTATGACTATCTCCCCACTGGTCCTTCTGGAATTCTGGAAGCTGCCCCTCCTAACCTGAAGTCTATTTTCAGGAGCTCTCTCTTGAGGGTGCCAAAACAGCTAGCGTTCCATGGATTATATTGAACAGCATGGATTTTTTCAGGGAAAGGTTTTTCCTGTTGTTGTAGTTGTTAGGTGCCATTGAGTTAGCTCCTACCCAAAGCAACCCCGTCACAACAGAACAAAACACTGCACGGTCCTGTGCCATCCTCACAATTGTTCCTATGCCTGAGCCCATCGATGCAGCCACCACATCAATCCATCTCCTCAAGGGCCATCTTGCTCTTAACCACCTCTCTACTTTACCAAACACGATGTCTGAAGGAGCCAAGTAAGGAGGGCTGTGTCTCGTGTCAAGTATCTGTCTAGGACAGTGTGCAAACGTCTGTCCTAGCTGGTTCTCATAAACTGCTTCCTTCCTGCAAATGGTAAGGAATTTGGGGGAACAGCTGCATACAGTGTTCCCTGGTAGAAAGTAAACAAGAGCGGTACGGGCTGAGATACGGAACTCACTCTCAAGGTTATGAGAAATTCAAGCGTGGGAACAGCAGACTTATCTGGGAACACTGCCAGTATTTAGTGCTTAAAAATAAAGCACTGTAGTCGGTCAGGGCTGCAGTTTGTACCGTCTCTGCTATTTTGTGTTGCAATCCTCTATTGTCTCTCTCTGTGTGTGTGTGTGTGTGTGTGTGTGTGTGTGTGTGTGTCTGGTTCCATGTTCATTCTCCCTGCTCAAGAAACCGCATCAATGTCCTTCTCCAGGGATTGGTCTCTCCTGACAATATGCCCAAAGTATGTAAAATGAAGCTGTATCATCCTTGTTTTTAAAGAGCACTCTGGTCGTACTTCTTCCCAGACAGATCAGTTTGTCCTTTTGGCAGTCCATGGTACTTTCAATATTCTTCTCCAGCACCACAATTCAAATGCATTGATTTTTCTTCCGTCCTCCTTATTCAGTGTCCAATTTTCACAAAGGTATTATGCAATGAATACTATGTTTTGGGCCAGGCGCAAAGTAACATCCTTGCTCTTCCATAATACTCTAAAGTGGTCTTATGAAGATTTACCTAGTGCAATTGGTCTTCTTATCTCTTGACTTCTGCTTCTATGAGCACTGGTTGTGGATACAAGTAAGACAAAATCCTTGACATCTTCATCATTTTCTCCATTTATCATGATGGTACCTATTGGTCCAGTTGTGGGGGTTTTGTCTTCCTTACATTGAGATGTGATCCATACTGAAGGCTACAGTCCTTGATCTTTATCAGCGAGTGTTTTAATTCCTCCTCACTTTTAGCAACCACAGCTGTGTCATCTGCATATCACAGGTTGTTAATAAGCCTTTCTCCAATACGGATGCTGCATTCTTCTTTATATAATCCAGCTTCTCTGATGATTTGCTTAGTACAGATTGAACATGTATGATGAGAGGACACAACCCTGACACACACCTTTCCTGAGTTGAAACCATGCAGTATACCCTTTTCTGTTCCCACAACTGCCTTTTGATCCACGTATAAGTTCTGAGTGAGCACAATGAAGTGTTTTTGAAATTCCCATTCCTCTCCAGATTATCCGGACCTTGTTAGAGTTCACACTGTCAAAAATGTCCTTGCATAGTCAATGCAACACAAGTAAACATCTTTCTTAATAGTCTCTGCTTTGAGCCAAGATCCACCCAACATCAGCAAGGATTTTCCTTGTTACACATCCCCTTCTGAATCTGGCATGAACTTCTGCAGCTCCCTGTCAATGTGCTGCTGTAACCACTGTTGGATGATCTTAAGAAAAATTTTATGTGAGTGCAATATCAATATCAATATCGTTGTGTAGTTTGAGCATTCTATTGGGTCACCTTTTTTTTTTTTTTTTTAATGGGCACAAATATGGATCTCTTAGTTGGTTTGGTAGCTCTCTTCCAAATTTCCTGGCATAGGCAAATGAATGCTTCCCGTGCTTCTTCAGCTTGCTGAAATAATTCAGTTCCTTAAGCCTTCTTTTTGGCTAATGCATTTAATGCAGTTTGAACATCTTCCTTCAGCACCGTTGGTTCTTGCTCGTTTACTATCCCCTGAAATGGGGCACTGTCAACTAGCTCATTTTGATACAATGACTCTGTGTATTCTTTCCATCTTCTCTTGATGCTTCCTGCATCACTCAATATTTTGCCTATAAAATCTTTTAAAATTGCAACTCAAGGCTTGACTTTTTTTCTTGAGTTCTTTCAGTTTCAGGAAATGACAGAAAATTTCAAAGGACAGTTTGAAAAGACAAAGACAAATATTTTAACAAAATGTGCCAGGGCGTATAATTAGAAAATCAAAAGGGAAGAACATACTCAACCTATCTGAATCATAAAGAAAGGAAAAGGGTAGAGTGATGGAAACACTTCTTTCAGATATGTATAGAACTAGATGAAGTCTATGCCAAGAAACAACAGTTTTGCATCAATATTTTTGTTTAATAAATGTTTCTATGATATTTTTAGCAATACTTCTTGCCTTAGCCTATATATGCAGTAATATGTACAACCAAGTGGAACCCAAAGGTGTTTTGTTTTTTATTTTAGTCCTACAAATAAACTCTAGGTAAGTCTCAGGAAAGTATTCTCAAAAAAACAAACAAAACAAGATCACTATATTAGTAGAGATTACTTTAAACTATAGGATGACTTATTCAAATAGTGATTACTCACCAGAATGAGTTTGCTCCTTCTGTAATGAAAAATAATAGGCATCGCTTCCACCCCAGCAGACTGCCAGTCCAACCACCAACACATCATCATAATCTTTAACAGGAAATCCATCATCTCTAACAGGAGTTTCCTGAGGGGTACTAACTAGGTGAATTAAAAGTGAAATAGTTAAATGTCTGAAAATAAAGTCATTAAAATCATCATTTAAACAATGGTAACTTTAAAAACTGCATTCGACAAATGTTGAAATCCTATGTTCATTCAGAAGTGCATACACTTAAGAAACCTGATGAGAACCCTCTGACACCTGTTGTCAGACTAAGTCAAGCTAGTGCCTGTGACCCGGAATCAAGGTGCAGGATAGCATGTGGTATGCTCTACACGGCATCAACTGAGCCCAAGGTTCAACCAGCTCAAAACCAGGAATAGTTCTGAGGCCTGGAGATTCCCCAACGTTCAGTATTGGATTCATGACTACCCCTCTAAATTCTACTTGAATAAGTCGTATAAAATGTCACTAATGCACATTCTGAAAACTATGTTATCGATATACTATGTATGTTTGTGACTATGTAAGTGGACAAAGGTATTACAATTTACCAAACATAATATATGGGTACTGATGACTAATTAAAATTATATCACACCATAATAATACCATTTAAAAAGTATATATTATCACAATGTTTAGAGACTTCTATTCCAATTAATAGAGTGTATATTATATGTACCCTTTATATGAAAAGGTAAATCAGGCTGTTACACACATATACTATTAAGAAACATTACCTATGGAAGTTATTAACCACCTAATCTCAAAAACCCACAGCCATCAAGTCAGTTCTGACTCATAGCGACGCTAAAGGACATAGTGCCCCTGTGGGTTTCTAAGAGTAAATCTTTACAGAAGTAGAAAGCCTCATCTTTCTCCCACAAAGAGGCTGGTGATTTCAAACTGCTGACCTTGTGGTTAGCAGCCCAACTTTTAACCCACTACACAACCAGGGTTCCTAATACATTGATTAGACTCAATATTCTATATGAAAAATTGCAATCCCACCTCAGTCCAGTATCTAATTTATATAAGTATGAAAAAATTGAAATTAAAAAAAACTTACCATGCTTAAATCTACCACCAATAGTACTAGTTTTAGAAGATGTCAAGCCGCTGATTTTTTCACAAGCCAGTGAGAGAGAAAATCGCTTTTTGCACTGCCACTCCTTAATGAACGTTTGAAAGAGGGCTTGGTCACTGGCAACATCAATTATGGTCAAGCTTTCTGCTGTGCTTGAAGCTGGAGTTAATTGGGCTTCATCCTGTGATAACTGCAGTGAGAAACTCGTGTCTCTAATAAGGCTGTCTTCTTTGAAACCATTCCTATTCTCTGGTTTAAAATCATGGTTTTCCATATCTGAGGGTGAACCAAATGAATATCTTTCACCAGGTTGTAAAACACTACTGTTTTTTTGAGATCTTAGAGATGTCCCAACAATTCCTGCAAATGTCGGCTTAGAAGCTGACGCTGGAGTAGGAGTGGGGGGGATGAGGCCATTATCGTCAGCCGCACAGCTTTCTTTATAAGACAAGAGGGGTGATGCTTCTCCATTGTTTGCAGGTGCCTCAATCTTGCTTTCTATTTCATTATGAGAAAATGAAATTGCCCTCATTTGATTTGTCTCCAAATTTGAAATTGCTTCTTGTTTGTCATTCAACTCTACGTTGTTTCCTTTCAAATTAGGTAGGGTCATGGTCATGGTCCTTAATATGAGATTTTCATTTTCTGGAGGAGTGGACACCTTATCTAAAATCCTTTGCAGTCCTGGACTTAGCTCAAATGATTCCCCTGACCAGATGAGTGAATTATTTTGTACTGTCCCAGTTAACCTGGTTTGCCGATCCCTTTCACCTTGATCTCCTCCAATTACTGCAGCACCACAGTGACCATTACCTGAAATCCCTGGATCGCATTGTTCTACTTCAAGAGATACTGCAACATTATGTTTCTCTTGAACAGAACATATGCCTACATTGTCCAAGGGCTCAACCATCGGAACAGAATCAAGTTCTGAAAACAAAAGAGACTCATCACTGAAACAAATCAATGGCTGCTGATTATCTTGATTCTCATCCACTTGTGATTTCTGAAGTAGGCTCTCCGGTTGTGGGCACAAAGAATCATTGAAATGCTGTGACGTAACCTCAGAAGGAAGTTCTTTCACTTGGCGGTCAGGTGGTTGCTTGTTTGCTATGTAATCATCACTGAAGCTATCAAACAGTGAAGCATCACTCATATTCAGACTGGTTTCAAAAACGGGCAGGCATTCTCCTTTAATATCAGTGGGAGTGCTCTGTTGAGGAACCAGAGGTATGGCGGACTTCACAGTTTCTTGAGTTTGATAGCCTTGAAGAAAACTATTTAATTGGGAGTCAGTAACAGAAAGTTCATTCCCCTTTTCAATCAATTTAAAGCCAGGCCCATTGTCCTCCACCAGTATTGGAGAATGAAAATCTAGACTTTGAGGAGACAACCTGTCAAGCCCAGGTGAACCAGTACTTTGTTTACTCTTCTCTGCATTCTTATGTGCCAAATGACCTGTATTTGTCACTCCCACAGAAAGCCGCTCATTGGGGCAAATCATGAGAATTTCATTCTGAAAAGAGCTTGCTGAGCTGCTGTTGTCTAAGTCCCTCTGCCTCAGCCCTGCTGCCCTTCTGGCGGCGTCCTCTGTTCCGTCTGGATTGGCATGCTCAGCTGCCATCTGCTGTATTATTCTCTCTGCTTGAGTATCCAGGTATAAACTGTCTTCAAAACCACAAAGGGATAGACCAAAGTCAGAAACATTACTTTTAGTTTTGTTTGCTACAAAAACATCTGTTTTTTCTTGTTTTCGAGAGGTATTTAGAAAGTTCTCATGCTGGTCTCCAAATTTACCAAATGTTCCAGATGATAAAAGTATTCTGCTGGGTATCGCAGGGTTTATATTAGCTCCTAATGCCTGAAAATTATCTGAGTTCTTTTCATCGGGGTTTGTCTTTTCATGTGCGATATTAGCAACATTTGAGTCTTCACTCTTGTGGTTACTGACTACTTCATGGGCTATTTGTCCATCTGTTATTTTCCTCTGCTTTGTATCAGAGTGCTTTGCAGGGCACCCGTTAATTGGATGAGTGTCACAGTGTTTCACATAAACATTCTTTTTCGAATCATTTTGTATCAGCACATCATTTATACTTTCTGTAACAACTAATCTTCCATTTTCACTAACCACTCTAGTAGCTGGGCAAGTCACCTTTTTACTTAGAGCGCCTGTGAGAAAATATTCCGCATGTGTATTGCTAGTTGCTCTTCCACGCCTTGAACAGCGTTGCTCTGCGTTTGATGGGAATGAGGTTTTGTTAAATTTTTCCTCAGTATAGTTGTTTTTAGCAAAAGACCCTGGACTTCTAAATTTCTTGTTTTCTTCATCTAAGATTAATGGATCTTCACAATGAATAGGATCAGGCATGGTTGGCTCTTCTGAACCACCTCGACCTATCCCAGAATCTTTCAAAGACCTCTCAGCTCTCAATTGCTTCAGATGTTTACTGTGTTTCCAAGATTGAAAGGTTGTGCACAACTGTTCTGAACTGAAATTCAGAGTTTCTTTTTCTGTCTTATCAGATGACAAAGTCTGAGCATGTTTCTTAGTGCTTATTTCTTCCTCTTTGAGAGAGGCGGCTACTGGCTCTCTACTAATGTTCAAAAAAGGCCGCTTTCTTGCTCTGGAAATTGAACATGCATGGCCTTCTTGATGCCCATTCTGGAGCCTGTTTGGGGAACTTGTTGGCTCTCCATTTTGGTCTAAATCTTGCACTGTATTTGGGGAATGCTCAAAAGAAGAATCACTCATTGTTACTGTGTTCCTTTTGTTCTTTGATGCTGATGTCTTACAAAAATTCTTAATACGTGTAAAAATCGTGTTTTCCCCTCCTTCTGACTCACTGCTGGTCAATGAATGCATATCAGAATTTAACAGAGAATGTGGATCCCACTGCACTCCCATTTCAGCTAAGTCCTCCTGCAGAATCATTTTGGCTTCTTCCACGATCAGGGCTGCTGCTTCTCTTTCAGTTAAGCCTCTTCTGCCAGCAACCCAAATCGTCCGCATATTACGTCGTTCTTCAACGGCTTCCTCTTCCTCATCCACAGCCTTTCGGGTACTGTGCAGGGAGATAGGAGATAAAATACATAAATAATGCATTCGTTCCTTCATTCATAAAACATTAAGCATTCCTTAAGCTTTCTGTCTTAAAGTTCTAATAACTGAAAAGGCAGCACTGAACAAGAGAACAAGACAGAACTATGGCTGCTTTCATGGAGCTTCTAGTTGGGGAAACTGAGGAAAAACCAAATGCTTAAAATGAATTGTACATCAACTGATAGGAGTGCAGGTATCTAACTAAAAAGGAGGGGGCAAAAAAAAAAGAAATGGGTAGCGGGGGAACAGGGAACTAACCCACCCAAGGGGAGGGTATTGTTTATATCTCCACAGGGAAAAAGGGACCAGACTTCAACCCGGTGCTCCAAGATGTGAATGCAACATATGGGCTGGAGTAGGGAACCAGTGGAGAGGTCTAAGGGGCCAGCCCCAATCTGAACTACATGGACACCTTCCCCTTCCCCCAGAAAAATTTATTTCAAAGGACAGCACTGAAGCTGCAGCTCAGGAAGAGGGATATGTCTGATCAGAGCACATGTGAGCAAATGAAGGGGGAGGAAGAGAAAGTGGAGCACATCCTGGCCCACCAATCCTTGAGGACCATATTCCCACTCAGAGCAGCCAATCCACAGAGAAGACCATATGGCCGACCCCACTATGAGACACAACATCCCTCACTGACCCGTAGCCCTACAGGGGACAACACTGGAGACACAGTGTGGGAATGCCACCAGATCTCATCCCATCACACTGAGGCAAAACACTAAGGGCGTGCAACACAATAGCAAGGGGAACAGAGCAACGAAGTCCCCAGGGAATACCAAAAATAGACTTTGGGGCCAGGGCTTGGCACCCTAGACCAGAAAACACTCCTAAAGGCCAACAAACAGTCCTTGAACTAACTACAGACTTTTCTTTTTTGTTGTTGTTGTTGTTGTTGTTGTTGGTGGTGGTGGTTTGTTTGTTTGTTTGTCATTGGCTTTTTGTTATAGTTGTTGTTTTGTTTTCTTTTGTTGCACTGTCTTGTTTTTATGCATATTATTATCTTCACAGGTCTGTCTAAATAAGATAGGCTGGATGAACAATCGAGGAGAAAACAATGGGACCGACCGTTCCGGGGGGCATGGGAGAGGGGGAGATGGGGGTAAAGGAAGTGGTGTTAACAAACCCAGTGACAAGGGAACAACAAGTGATCCAAATCAGTGGTGAGGAGGGTGTAAAAGGCCTGGTCAGGCGTGATCAAAGGTGATGTAACTGAGAGAAATTACTGAAACCCAAATGAAGGCTGAGCATGATAGTGGGACAAGAAGAAAGTCAAAGGAAATAAAGGAAAGAACTAGGAGGCAAAGGGCATTTATAGAGGTCTAAATACAGGCATGTACATATGTAAATATATTTATATATGATGATGGGGAAATAGACTTATGTGCACATATTTATAGGTTTAGTATTAAGGCAGCAGATGGATATTGTGCCTCCACTCAAGTACTCCCTCAATGCAAGAAAACTTTGTTCTATTAAACTGGCAATCCATGATACTTACCTTCCTGACACGATCGCTGAAGACAAATGGGTGCATAAGCAAATGTGGTGAAGAAAGCTGATGGTGCCCTGCTATCAAAAGATATAGCATCTGGGGGTCTTAAAGGCTTGAAGGTAAACAAGCAGCCATCTAGCTCAGAAGCAACAAAGCCCACATGAAAGAAGCACACCAGCCTGTGTGATCACAAGGTACTGAAGGGATCAGGTGTCAGGCATCATCAGAACAAAAAATCATATAATTGTGAATGAGGGGGAGGGCAGATTGGGGACCCAATACCCATTTGTAGGCAACTGGACATCCCCTTACAGAAAGGCCACAGGGAGGGTGCAGTGTAGCAACAATGAAGCATACAACTTTCCTCTAGTTCCTAAATTCTTCCTCCCCACCATCATGATCCCAGTTTTACCTTATAAATCTGGCTAGACTGGAAGATGTACACTGCTACAGGTAGGAAATGGAAACACAGGAATTCAGGACAGATGAACCTCTCAGGCCCAGTGCTGAGAGTGGCGATACCAGGAGGGTTGCGGGAGGGTGGGGTTGAAAGAGGGAACTGATTATAAGGATCTACATATAACTGTCTCCCTGGGAGATGGACAACAGAAAAGTGGGTGAAGGGAGACGTCGGACAGTGTAAGATATGACAAAATAATGATTTATAAATTATCAATGGTTCATGAGGGAAGCGGGAGCAGGGAGGGAGTGGAAAGAAATGAGGAGCTGATACCCAGGGCTTAAGTAGAAAACAAATGTTTTGATAATGATGATGGCAACAAATGTACAAATGTGCTTGACACAATGGATGGATGTATGGATTGTGATAAGAGATGTAGGAGCCCCCAATAAAATGATTAAAACAAAATAAAACAAACAAAAGCAGCAGGACAGGGAGGGGGCAGCGCAGCAGCACGAGCGTGGGCTTCTGCAGTTTGTACACTGTATAATCAGGGAAGGCCTCACTAGGCATGTCAAGCAGAAGCAGAAGAAAGTGAGGGGTACAGAGTTGTCATTGAAAACTGATCCTCACTACAACGTGAACTCTGGAAAAAACTATCTGAAGGGATTAGAGAGTGCCCCTCAAAAAGGAGCAACCAGAGAAGAGTGAGACTAAAAAGGAAAAAAAACGGCAATAGATGAATTTTCACACTTTTCTCTTGAAGGCAGGCCAGTCAGCAACATACAGAATGTGTCATAGATTGAAACATTCCCCAAAAGGTAGGTTGAAGGCCCTTACTTGTGAATAGGAACTTGTCTGAAATAAAATCTTTGCAGATACCATTAATCAGTACACGGTTATACTGAAATAAAGTGGGTCCTGATTGAATCAGAGTGGTGCCAAGAGTATGTGGGCCACAGCAGGCCCTGAGCAGGCCCTGAGGGGGTTAACAGCTTACAAGGACAGTGCTATGGGAAAAACTCAAGTGTACAAGTGGTTTCAAAAGAGGTGCACTGTAGATTGATGACAAACCTCGTTCTGGACATCCGTCAACTTCCTGAATGGACAAAAATGTCAACTAAATCCATGCACTTGTGTTCAAAGACCGACGACAGACCATTGAAGAGATGGAGAAGTTACTTGGACTATCTTGGAGCTAGGTTCAGCGGATTTTAATGGAAGATTTGTGAATGAGAAGGATTGCCCCACAATTTGTTGTGGGGGGAGGTCAGATGCTTACACACATCCTCCCTGAGGGCAGTTAGTTGCCAGACTACAGGGTAGGCCCCACTCCCTGCTGTTCAAGGACAATGGACAGGTCTTGGAGCTGGAGTTCACACCCTACTGATAATGGTCGCTATCAGTTGAGCCAGGAACAGGTCAAACCAAACCGGCTCTGTGACATCCAAAGTAAGCTGCCATCCTACATCTAGGATCTGCTGATCTTGTCACATGCATACCCCAAATCCCTGCTCTTCCTATGTGTATGTCCCTAGACCACCCCTTCTCATTGCTGTATAACCTATAGTGCAACCCCTTCCTGTTATATATGTCTTTACCTGTAATTAGTGGGCTTGCAGGCCCCCAAAGGTGTATAAGCCTGGGTTAGCAATAGAGGTCTCTCTCACTGGGCTCTCCTCTTGCCCCATCCCTCTCGGCTCTTCCTCTCTCATCCTCACTCCCTTGTTCCCTTGCCCTCCTTCCCTTCTCTCTCTCTACGTGGACCACGTGAAGGGCTAAGGTGAGCAATGCTACCATGTAATGTGTCGGACTCCGTTATTGCAATATCTCTTTTATCTCTCATGCTCTGGATGACTTTAATATAATATTTA